CAAAAAAATTGATTTACTCTTTTTAAAAAAGTTTTTAGAACATATTTCTCACCTTTGCATGCTCCAGTTGAATGTTGTTTACAATTTTGAGCTAAAAATAAGAGTTGCATGACCTTGACATAACCGAACAACGAAACGGTAGATACAACCTTTATTTTTCCGGCACTTAAACGAATTGTGCAGTCAATTCTTGCAGTCTAATTGTCATATATTCGCTAAATACTCATAATTTCATAAGTATTTCTCTGTATGCTACAGATATCTTAAATTTACGATATGATTTTGACTCACTGTGCCGCTTTAATACGCATTCGATCCTCTTCTAAAAATCATATATGATATGCACAGAAAAAAGAGGCATGAAAAATCTTGACAATTAGCACAAATAGAAAATTCTATCTAATGAATGATTATTTTTGAAAGTTTGCTAAATTCCTATGTAAGGTATAAGTTGTAAAAATACTTTTTAAATTAGAATTTGTCCAATCTGTTAATTATCATTTTGAGCCTTTGAGAAGAAATAAAAATCAAAATACAGATGCTTACATGCATATTGATAGAATAACGCATACTTGTTTTTAGTAAAAAAAAAAGAAAAAAAAAAAAAAAAAAGAAAAAAAAAACACAAAAAAACAAACAACAAAAAAAAACCAATGTATTGTTTATGCGACATATTGAAGAAAGTGAATGATACCTACAGTTATTTGGCCAGTTCCGAATAAGAAACCGCGATTCGGCGGTGCTATAAATATATTTATAGCACCGCCGAATCTACTAGGCATTATTTCAAAATCTAAGTGTTTTGTCAAGGCAGTTCGTTGACTTGTGGAATTAAATATTGTTTCACAAAAGTTCAGACTTCCCCCCGAAAAAAATCATTTCGCAAGTTACCATAGGTGTCCATTTTACCGGTTACGAATAAGCCGACGAGTTCCGGATAGGTTAGAGATTCTTATTCATTTCAACCTTTAATTAAAAAATATACGTCCAAGACGTTATCCATTGGCATGCCTAAGATAAAGTCAATTAATTGCTTCCAATAAATTATTTGTATTTCCAAACGTTGAAGAGAAACTAGAGGTGCTGTGGGCACTGGGCTCATTTTAATGATACCCCACACCTCCTTTATGATTATTTATGACAAAGCCCATGTTTTGCTCTGGGAGGCCCGAAATAAGTGTCAGATTAATAAGTTAAATAAAAGGTAACAATGTCACAATATAATAAAGAATCTGTGAAAGTATCATTAAAACTTCTTCAGTGGTATAGGAGGAATTGTGATTAAGAGATGGGTATACCTTTCAATATTACAAAGAATGGCAGTATATGTATGTTTCTCTCAAGGAGCCCGAATTATGTGCCAGATCCAAAAATAAAATAGGTGCACTTTGGTACTGTTAAACAAAGATTTTGTGAAAAACTCATTAAATTCTGTGAAGCCTCATTAAACTTCATTCAGTGGTAGAAGAGGGGTTGCGGATAAGAAATGGATACCCCAGAGTAAATCAAACGGGCGGACGTACAGACAGACGGACGGGCGGACGTCGAGACGGATGGATGGACAAAGATCCCATTACTATACACTCCTTCTTCCTGTTTTTCCAGCGGAGGTATAATAAGTCACGTTAACAATGAAGAAAACAACGAAGAGTGACTTTATACATGTTATAATAGTATTTAAAATGGGTATTCGGAACTGGTAAAATAAGAGCATAAAATATTTCAACATCTTACAGTATTTTAAATATATATTTTTGACAAGATTTTAGTATATATTAGAGTACATATCATACTAACTTTTGATACCTGGAACGCGGTTTTATGTGAAAAATTAATGTATCTACAGAGGGTTTTTTCAGACTTACGCGTCGCAGTGATTCAGATTTGTTGCGTTGTAAAAGTATGTCGACTGTTTCAAGTACGATAACGAAACCAAACCGAGGGCAAAAAATCAAAACTTCACATAATTCAAACAATCATACATAAGCCTTCTTACCATAGAAACAATTTATTTTTACCCCGTTGAATTTATTAATTATCAGTCCTTACATTACTAATTATTCGGAACTGCCCAAAATCCGGAACTGGCCAAACGGCTGTAGGTAATTCTTGCAATGGACAATTAAATTGTTTGTTATACACTGACTTTAAGTGAACCTTTGAATTTTTAAAATACTAGTATTGATGGATTAAACAACGACTTTCCTTTTCACACGTTTTTTTATATCAATATTGCATGAAAAACATTTGCCAAATACTCAGTATATGTTCGTTTATACATCTCGTGCAAGACTCTTTTTTTTAAATAATTGTCATATACCATTTACTTGTTCGAACATTTAATTGTATGAAAAGTCAATAATGTACATTTCTTAAAACTTAATTATTTTCTTTACTTGTCTTTCTTCCTATGAGAAAAATAGTTCATAATATTAATAAACAGATGTACTCAGTATCTGTGTCAAAATACAGCCTGAACAGATCGGTCTCAAAAGAAAAACGAATCCTTGAAAGTTCCGGTGCCTAGGAGAAATAAGCATCCCCAATGACAATGACACCTGCTGACCCGCAGTGAGCCTACGAAACTGAAGCTCTCTGATATTAATTTACAAATTCTCTGCTCGTCCATCAAGTTTTCCTCAGACTAGCCAGCTAAAGATCTATATACAGTAGTCCAAATCAATAAATCTAAAGAATTTGAATCATCTTTTTTTTTTCAGCTGTTTGCTATAGTGGCATTTACAGTTACCTAATTTCAGAATCAGTTGAGCATGAAAGACAATTAAATTTGCAACATCAACATATTTTTTTTTTCGTTCTGAGCACTTTTGGACGCCACAATGGTGAAAATTAGGGAGAATTTTTTGAAATTGAACTTCCTGTCTTTCAAACTGAAAATTTCTGGTTGATATTTTGAAAAATACATTTGTGACATCAGTCTGGGATGTTATTGGTTTTACCATTTAGTTAAGTACAGTAACTACAAAATTAAGTGTGTCTGCTTCTTCGCTGATGACATTTGACAAAGATATGCATGATTACTTTAATATCATCATCCAATGCATTTTTTGTTTTTGTACACTGTACATATTCGATGAAAGCATGCTAACCGCTTTTCATTACTTTCAGTACGTTGATTGTTATCGTCGATGTAAACTTTTCATATTTCCATCATTTTCTCAAGAACAAATGGGCCAATTTCAAACAAATTTACCTCAAAGTATCCTTGGGCGAAGGGAATTCAAGTTCATTAAATAAAGGGTCACGCCCTCTTTGAATAGGAAATAGTTATGTAGAGCGAAAAAATAATGGCATCTTTAAAATTCTTCTACTCAAGAACCACTTGGCCAGGAAGGATGAAGCTCATTTGGAAGGATCCTTAGGTAGTGCAGATTTAAGTTTGTTAAAATCATGACCCCGGGGTTAGATAAACAATAGCAAATTAACGTTTTACATAGGAATATAAAAGGGAAAATCTTAAATATCTTCTTCTCAAGAACAGCAAAAACTATGATTTGTGATATTTATATTGATGTATCCTCAGGTAGTGTAGATTCAAGTTTGTTCCAAGCATGACCCCCAGGGGTAGGGTGGGGCCACAATAGCTGATCAAAGTTTAATATAAAAAATATATAATTAAAATAATTATAAATCTTCTTCTCAAGAACAGTGGAGCCATTATTTGTCATATTTATATGAAAGCGTCTGCAGTTGGTGTAGAATCAAGCTTGTATAAATCATGTCCCCCTTGGATGGGGTGGAGCCATAATGGACGTTCGAAGTTTTACATAGAAATATATCGGGAACATCTTTAAAAATCTTCTCAAGAACATTTAAGCCATGGTTGGTCATATTTATAAGAAACATCTGCAGGTGGTGTAGATTTAAGTTTGATCAAAACATGACCCCTGGGATTTGGGTGGGGCCACAATTGCTGATCAAAGTTTGACATAGGAATAGATAGGAAAAGTGTTTTCAAATCCTTCTCGAGAACATCAAAGTCACGGTTGGTCATATTTATATTGAAGTATCCTCAGGAGGTGTAGACTCACGTTTGTTCAAATCATGACCCCCAGGGGTAAGGTGGAGTCACAATAGATGAAGGAAGTTTAACATGGGAGTATATAGGAAGAATCTCCAAAAAAATCTTCTCAAGAACACTAAAGCCTATGATTGTTCATATTTATCTGAAAACATCAACAAATACTAGTAGTGTAGATTCAAGTTTGTTCCCCCTTAACCTTCTGCCTTTTAGGGGTAGGTTGGGACTACTCATGCATTACAGCTTTCTAATACAAATAGTATTAAAAGAGATTAAATGCATGAGTGGTCCCAACCTACCCCTATGAAACTTATTTTTGCTTTTTTCCCAACCACGTTTCTCTGGTGAGCGATAGTGGCCACTAGGCCTCTTGTTTTGATTCATTTCTCGATGAACAAAACATTTATATCGTCAATGCTTAAAATTTGAAGTAAATTCTAACTTGTTAAAAAATATGCAAATTATGTGTTTTTTACAGAGTATTTGTTCATCATGCAGTCGCATGTTATGTTATACTGGAACAAATTTAGTTTTCTGACAAATATCGCTCAAAATTTACATCGAAAAGTAGTTCAGTTGCTAAAATTGACTTTATTTTCTTTGGAAAATAAACAGCAAAATATTTAAATAGATACACTGTAGTTCAAAATGATGGAAAAAAAGGTGATTGAATTATTGTGTATCGAACACTGAATTTAGAAATGTTTATTGTGAACACTGTATTTATACACAGAAAGTAATTTAAGGGTCATGAACAGAATCTTGCATGGAATTGACACAAAAACAAATTTTCAAACCCTGCATTCAATTTTGAGACAGACGGTCAAAGAGGTAGAGAAAAGCGCAACAAAATGTCGTTTCATTTTGTGAGAAAGATAGCCTTCATGTATATGGAGTTACATGAATTAATGCAAATCAGTTTCTTATATTCATAGCTTTCTCTTTACAATTTTTGAAGATCTTTATCCTCCTGGGAAAATAGACCAAAGATTAAGCAACTTTTCTGCAAGCCATTTATATTTAAGATGGGAGAGGTCTGGAGGAAACACTGTTGTAAGTCATTATATAGTCATCATAAATGGACATCAAGAACAGACCTTTGGAAATTTTCCAGAGATCTACTGGGATAGAAAACTAAATCCAGGTTCTACGTACAACGTAACAATTTATGCAGTTAGTCATGGAACAGTTTTTGGCTATCCTTGGTATGGAAGTAGGAATAGCGAACCTGTTGTAGATTGGATAGAGATAGATCAAAGTAAGTATAAAGTTTTAGGAAATCATCAACCGTACATGTTTTGCACAATATTAAATATTAGCATTTTTTTTATAGATGTTCCCATACTTTGCATCTTATCTAAATGATATAGTGTTTCATCAAATTGTAAAGATATTTGCTCTAGCAACGTTAACAGAACATAAAAACGACTATTTTTGTACTTTTATATTTATATTGAACAAGAGTGCATCAACCCTTATATAATTTTTTCCGAAATTCTTAATTTTATATAAAATACGAGAAATTTAAATATTCTTTACAATTTGTAACTGGTGATAAAGGTTAACACTTAATTACCTGAGCCATTTCATTACCCCAGGAAGTTTTCACTTTAGCTATTTCTCAATATAATATGAATATTGTACTGATGGTCACACTGTTAACTGAATCATTCACAACCCTTTGGTGTATTTTATTCCGACGTCATGCTTATTTGAGAAAATAGCTGTATATAATGTGTAGCACTTTCAATCATGGAATTTATTACAAATTTATTTCTTCAAAACGAATCGGAAAGTGTACAGAATTGATTCTGACTTATCAGATTTATACTTTAATTGTAAGTGCTTCGCAGTCGAAAATCAATCAGGATGGTGTCTTTGATAGGGTAGTACCTTCACTGAAGTGAAAAACCAACATTATAAAAATATTTTGAACAATGATGCTATAAATTATACCATTTCAGTTTTATTTCATGGACATACTTACATGTCATTTGGAGAAAGAGATGAGGTACTAAAGGGAGATGAAGTCATCAGTCCATATCTTAAAATTCCGACAAAATTATTTATTGGGGATGGATCCCATGAAGGATTTAATTACGTCGTTGTGAGTAATTGTTACAAATCTTATTTTTTAACTTCTCCATTTAAGGCATTTATAGCGTAATTTCTTTAATTTAAGGTGGGTTCAAATGGTGTAATTGGACTTGGAGAAGAATTCAACAATTTTGCAATAAAAGAAATCAATACTGAGGAGGTGAAAGATAGACAAATAATTTGTCCATTTTGGACAGATCTGCTTACACTGAAAACCAAAGGCAGTATTTACTACCGAACATACCAAAGGTACATGTCCTTAATAACATTAAATGAGTAAAATGGAATTGTATATTTAAGGCCAAAAAAAAAAAAATACCTGTGTTTCGGGTTACCCAACCGACCCTAATTTTACGCGCCGACCCTAGCACTTTTTATTGCAAATCCGGATTACGTACCGTAATTTGTTCTAAAACTACAGTCTTCAAAACGCGCGCAATTAAAAAGGCACTTGTAACAGATAAATAAAAACGTCTTTTCAAGCATTTTAAGATTATACATGCATAGATAATAGCTCTTTTCCGCTTAGATCGTTCCCTCCTTTACCCTTTAATGACGATTTTTTACACTTAGCATCAGACCCTTAATGAGACTTTTAACCGAATCGATGTTGACACGACGTCGTGTGTATATTTTCATTGTTGATTTGACTTGAAATTACCGCTTGTTTTTAAATTATCAGAGCACAGGTGGCCACCTACAGGTTGACAATAGATGACTGCATCATACTGCAGTTGGAAATCACATGATTTACTTGTTTAAAAAACATAAGAATCTCGGAAAGTCCCACCAAAATTCAAAATGGCGGACTGTTACTTACGATCGTTTTTGAGCATATAACTCAGGCAATACGCAATATTTTCTCATCCAGTAAAGCATTACATGAAATTCCAGCTATCAACTACATTTTCCTTGAAATGTTTGATAATCATAACGATCTACACGTGTAATATACTTCAATATAAGCAGGGACCTATATACTATAAGATACGAGAATTTTGTGAAGTTCGGAACCGCGCAGTGCCGATTTCGTTACCTGTTTCTCAGACATTCAGAAGATATCTTCCATTTTACGCATAGTTATCAATGTAAAGGTGTAGAAAATAATTATTAATTCTAAAACGTTTAGAAATCAAGCAAGTTTAAAAATTTGTTGGCGAGATTGACATTGTAGTTTCAGTACAATTATTGATTTCTGAGGAATCAAACTTATAAAATGGATAATAAATAATAAATTAATAATTAATTATAACATCATACATAAATTTCATAGTTTTTAAAGACAATTTTGGCATATTTGTTTAAAATATCTATTTTGCGATTTACACCTGCTCTCACCTGAATTATTTATTTATAGAAAATTACAATAAAAATTTTGTTATTAGGATGAGAAAAATTTAATTTATTACAAATCCAATGATATATTATACATAGCATAAAAGAATTGTTTGACCCCTATTAGCATGATTAGTTCAGTTTTAAAATGCACTCTAATTCATTTAAAACGCTCTATGGGGCACCCACTAGGCAAACACTCCAGGAATATGGCTAGTGTGTCAAATTGCATCACTTATTTTATATGTGCATCACTCAACTCCAAGTCCACCACATGTTGTCATTGGGTTTAAGCTCAAGAAATATCCACACTCATACACAATTACTGCAATAATATATATAACTTTCTTTGGCACTAGACTGTGGGAAATTTATTTGGAGATGGTCATAATTTTGAAGCTGACAACGGCATTTTAACTCTGACATTATTGGCCGTGAAAGAAATGGATATTAACTATGTCTTTACATGTAATGATAATGAGGTCGAGGTAGAAGTAGGCCTGAAAAACTATCTTGAATTCTTTATTTTACTTTTTTGTTAAATGTGACAAATTTTCATTATTAAATTGTGATCAAAATTCAAATATTATCTTTTTCTGTAAATCAATTTCTTGCAATTGGTTCTGCTACCTACCTCTAGAAAACAAAATAGTACTTGTTAATATTTAATATCATATACAGTTTACCTAAAAAACAGTCAAATATAATGTTCAGTTAAAATAAAAAGTAAAAGTAAAAAAAAAGTAATTGCCTACCTACCTACCCTAATTTTCAGGGACATGTTACCGGAAACACATTTTTTTTTTGGCCTAACTAATGCTATAACTAATCTGTTTATCTTCATGAAGTGGAAAGGGTGCTGAGAATGATTTATTTATTGGAAAAGCGAACGACTTGATTCGGCTACAGTTCAAAGATTTTCCAGAGTTTAAGGCTACTTGGCTCCTCAAAGTAACGTGGGTAAACATGACGTTGTTTGGAGACAGATCTCAGGTTGATGTACGTAAATGTTGATCGAATTTGATTTAATAAGTGTTGTAACAACGGAAAATATAATAATGTTGCCAAATGTAGTAAACTAAAATGATAACATTTAGTGACAATTAGTGTTATACCATCTTGCATCGAGATGAACAAGAAACGGTTTAACGCAAAATGTAGTAAAACGAAAGTAATACTCTTTCGTTAAGAATATTCTGAAAAATTATCAGTAAGTAAGGTACGTTGCATATGTTCTTATTGTCCCCCGCTTTCGCGAAAGCGAGGGGACATTAAATCTCATTCGTCTGTCCGTCTGTCCGTCCGTCAGTCTGTCCGTCAGTCACAAAAACTTTAACCTTGCCCATAGCTTTTGATTTAGCGGAGCTATGATTTTCATATTTCATATGTGTATTCCTTGTGATAAGACCTTTCTTTGGGTACCACCAAATTTGACCTTTTGACCTTGACCTTGGAGTTTGACCAACTTTTACAACAAAATTCCAAACTTTTACTTTGGCCATAACTTTTGAATGGTAGGTACTAGGACTTTCATATTTCACATATTTATTCTTTGGGACAAGATCTTTCATTGGATACCAACAACTTTGACCTTGACCCAAGAAATTTACGTTCATATGTTTTTCATATGAACGTAAATTTCTATACTATACTATAACCCTGACCACAATTTTTGAACGGTAAGGGCTATGGCTTTTATACTTCACATATGTTATTCCTGTAAGAAGAACTTTCATTGGATATCAAGAAAGTTAACCTTTTGACCTTGACCTTGGAGTATTAACTACTTTTTAAAAATCATAACTTTGGTCACAACTTTTGAACGGTAGACACAAGGACTTTTATATATTTCACGTATGTTTTCTTTATGGCAAGACCTTTCATTGGACACCAACAACTTTGACCTTTTGACTTTGACCTTGGAGATTTACGTACTTCTGGAAAAACTTTAACCTTGACCATATGTAATCCTTGTGAGAAGACCCTTCATTGCTTACCAAGAACTTTGACCCTTTGACCTTGGAGTTTTAACTACTTTTTAAAAACTTTAACCTTGGTCACTTTTGAACAGTAGAAACTAGGACTTTGATATTTAAAAATATGTATTCTTTGTGGCAAGAACACTCATGGGATACCAATAACTTTGACCTTGACCCTAAAAAATAAAATCTTGCCCACAAAGACACCAAAAGCGGGGGACCACAATTCTTTGAATTTGCTTATATATAGTATTTACTTTGTAGACAAAATGTAAAATATTGCTGCTGCTTTTACGAGGGTTGTCCCAGAAAAACGCAAACATTTTTAATATCTTTTGTTTTACTAGGACTATACAGTTAAAAATTGAGATACATCATGATCAACATTTTTTGAATAATTTCTAAAAATTTCAAAGAAATATTTCTATAAATGAAATTTTCCTCTTATGTAAAGGAATCTATCAAATTAGCTGTCGGCGCAACACTGACGACGTCAAAACGTATCTAGTAGTGTTTACGAATTTGTTACGAAAAGTGCGCCTCTATAAATATTCATTTTTTAACACACATTCGGCAATGTGTTTCATTATCTTTAGTTACCAACTTATGCATCCCAAATACTAGTGTTACTAAACGATTGGGGGGGGGGGTATTCTTTCAATAGACAATTTCACAATCCCGATCATAAAGCTACCTGATCGAATTATTTAACAGCAGCCTTCACGTAGGCCTATGACGTCCCTCTCTTGTCTTTTCAGTTAGTCTTTATTTATGTTCTATTTCACCAGTTCAACCGAACATAAATTATTTATAAATTCAAAACTCCAACACATGTTTAGGAACGGCATCGCCTGCGTCTGTGCAACAGACATTTATTATACATAAATGTTACAAATAATATTCTTCTTTGAAACAACATTCTACAAAATAAAAAACGAAAATATTAAATCATATCAGATATATACATTATAAAGTAGGGTGGGTGGGCGGGGACTTGTTGCACTAAGCGCAGCGAAACCTCGAATAACTTCTAATTCTTAATACCTGGACACAGGTAAACTACCTGTTCCGCACGATTTCATTTGAACTCATATCAATCGTTAAAATCCAATCAAATCTTAGATACTATAAATACTTTCTAAACACGTAAACAGACAACACCACGTGTTTCCGATACCAATTATAAATATATTTATGTGCACATGTCTATTCTCTTATATCAGGAAACAAGTCAAGTCAACCTAAAACCTCTTCTACTAGATATAAACCTGTTCCCCATAGTTATGTTTGTGTCTTTTTTCATAGTTTACATCTTTTTTCTATATGCAGGAGTCATATCCCACTTAACTTAGTGTTGCTTGATAATTTGGTGCTCCGCATCACAGCTTAAGGGGCAATATCCCTCTGATAAGAGAGACAACTCTTCTGATAAGAGAGATACATGTAACTTCCATCAGACATTTTTGTCATGAAATTCAGCGAATTGTTATGTCCGAGTTTGCAAATTTCATTCCTGAAGACAATTTCATAGTCAACTTAGTCAAACCTATTTTATGCTACAAATGTTGATTTATAGTTTCTATTGCTTGTATATTGATTAATTATTTATAATAGTTTACTTAAAACATTTATACTCAGTTCCTTTAAACAGTGTAAATTGAGAAATCTCAATCTCTTTAAATATATTTATTTTAATTGTACAGAAATTTCAGGTGCAGTATTGTTTATAAACATTTAATTAATATTTTGTTTCATTTAAAAATATTTTCAAGGGCGATAATGGAACGATAACTCTTGTTTATGGATGCGTGTTTTTTTACATGCACAAAAAACAATTTGTTATTCTGATTTAAAAAGCAGGGCTTCAGTATGTTTTCTAATGGGAATTAGATAAGTATGAGAGTAAATATTATTTTTAGATATACCTCAGATTTCTAATTTAATTGTGAGATAAAAAATAATTAATCTTTCTATTTACCATATCAAATTTTCTTCACATCATGATCTGACATATTATTCATTTCTAAAAAAGTAAGCGACGCTTCATACTTCAAACTATTTTCCATTTGAATTCAATGCTATTGTTGTTGCTGAAAATCAATGTCTGGAATAAAAAAAAAAGTCGTGAAATTTGGAGCAGAGGGATATTGCCCCTTAACGTCACAATTTTTGACAATGTCTAATTCAAAGCGCTTTGCTATATATCGTCATAAATTTGTCATTAATGATGCCAAATAAATGAAAGAATGAGTGCACTTATTCCACTTAAGCTATGAGAGTTGGATCCCGATGTTTTGCGCAAAATAAAATTCTAAAATTCATTAAATTTATGTTTTATAGATATTAAACAATATCTTAAAAGCAGGTTTTTGTTTACTATATTACATGAAAGTATTAAATGATGCCGAACGACAATAGCTTTTGAGACAGGGGTTTAACAGTTTTGTCTCATTTCTATTGTTATTCATATGCGTACCAGTCTTCAACCACTTTGTTTACACCGAGCCGCAACTTGGCCATTTTTCTTATTTGCACAGAATATGTATTTTAACTAAAACTAATACATATCCAAAGGACAATGTTGGCCAAGTTGCGGCTCATATCTAATTTTCAAAAAAATGTCCCCAAACTAGGGTCGAGATAGCTAATAAATTAACCGGTCACTGAGCAACAACGATTGATATTTTAATCACATTTCTCACGTGACCTTCTGCTGTTCAAAACGCTAACGCTTTCATTGAAAATTTCATTGTGTTTAGTCTCTGTTTTGACATTATCTATCGTACTTCCAACTTCAAACTATGGGAGATTTTTGCGCAAATTTTAAGATGGTTTTAGATATTATGTCTCTTCTACGAGGGCTGTTCAATAAATAATGTCCTGAACTATATAACATACATTACAGATATCATTTGACATTAAACTTGACTTTCTCTCATTATTGAATCTTTCATGAATTTATAACAGTTTATGTGACCACTTTTCATCTCATAGTTTCATCGTGAGAAGCTGGGAAACAAGGGCTTTTCGAGACACTGCATTATAAATGAATGGTCAAGAATCAGTAAAATAGAGTGAAAATAAAAGCTTCATTATAGCTGTCGTTAAACTTGTTAAAAATCCCAAAGAAATATTCACTGAAATATATGACATTTACAGCAACCAATGCCTGTTTTATAGACAAAAGAGCAGATAAATTTCAATGATAAAAAATTATATAATGGGCATCAAAAATGGGTACCCTCCTAGCCAACAAAAAATATAACAACTTATGTACTGGTTGCCAAATTTCAACAAATAATATTTGATGATGTATGATTGACCTTAAGACACATAGCAAATTTGATAGACATCATATCGGGAGCAGTTTACACTGTAAGAAACGTTTGACGGCAAAAAAGCTTGGTACTCAAAGGTCACCCTATATTTTGAAAAATGAGTGAAAACGACAGCGTATACGAAATTCTTAACAATTATTTTAAAATATCAGTAATTTTAGTAATCCACATTTGTTTTATTTTTAAAAAGATATTGGAACATGAATCTATTGATTAAAACCCTCAAAACAAAATTTACCCTAAGATCTACTTGATAAAAACAGCGAATGTCTGACAAGAGCACAGAAATTCAAAAGCAAAGAGACAGATTTATATGTAAATTTCTTAAAAATTCGTGGTATTGTTGTTCAAATTCGTATTCGGAGAGACAGTTTAATTTCTGGAGGAGTCTAGAAAGCAGTTTTTTGCAAAAAAATCAAAAGGTTTATTAGAGGAACGACCCAGAATCAGGAATCCACTTTATTGAATTTCTTCAAGACAGCGTCCAAACCCGCATGCCCTGAAAAGTAAAGGGGTTTTCGGGATAAACAGAAAGTTAGTGTTTTTTCAAATGAACAATATTCGCCATTTTTTTTACCTTTTGACTTGTTTCTATTTTCAAACTTGAGAAAAACACCTTTCAGAGGGAAGAAACAGGTCCGGGAAATCATTGGATCTGCCATTTTCCAGTATACTAAGGGCCATACCCAAAAATAAGTTCTAACAATAACCAGAAACTGGAAAAAAATGTTACGGACATGTATTTTACTAAGAAGAGATTAATTAGTAAAATCATGAAGACTAAAACATTGAAAAGCGTCTTTTGCTTCTTTCTGAGCACCGAGGACATTATTTATTGAACAGCCCTCGTATATATCTTTATGCTTTCATTAGGGGTGTTTTGAAAGAATTCTGGTATTGACAGTGTCATTAGTAAGAACATGTATAGGCTTATGTCGCCTTTGACTGTATTATGGTCTGCACAGCGAGACATTTACCCCATCCCTTAACATTAGAATCATTTAATAATTGTGCACCATGACATCAACACGATGTCTCTCTCTTCTCCATTTTGATTCGCAATGCGAAAAAAAAAATCATGTGTGCTAATGTTTACATTCTTCAACCATGCAGTTTAAATGTCTCCGCCTATTTGCGGATACCTTAGATTCAAAAGTGGTCCCGTTCAAACTTTGGATGTATTCGCTTTAACAAAAGAATTGACCTATAGGAGAGAACAATTTCCCGGAAAAAAACGACATTTAAAAATCAATCATTATTTGTTGTTTTCTACCGTATATATGTCTAAATTTTTCAAATTTGTATTTGATACCTCAAATTTATTATTTACAACTTAATAATAAACCTCCAAAGTTGACCGAAACACCATTTTGTCCATAAAAGCATTGATTTTAGCATGAATTTTGGCCTTGAAGTCCTTCAGGGCAGGCCTGCCCCTAAATAAAATTGCAATATTATGATAGGTTAGGATGTAAGGAAGAAATTAAGATAATTGTTTTTTAGGGGCACCCCTGCCCTGGGGTCGAAATTCACAAAAAACCTACAAAAAATAAGGAAACCTGATTTTAATCACCTGCTTTAAATCTATGCTCTTCATTCCTATAGTCAGACTAGCTCAGTTGATAAAAGCGCGGACTTTTACACCTTGGACGCTATCTTTTTAAAGTCGGGGGTTCGAATCCACCTGGTACAACACTTTTAAATTTTGCCTTTTTAAAGACTGTTTAGATTTTTTACATAGATTTGTGTATTTTTCCTTTAATTATCTATCCTTTATGCATGTCTATTCTTGATATATAAGAAACACTAAAGAGATATCAAATCGTAAAAATCCAATGTTCAGTTGTCGGTCAGGCGGAACGAACCTCAGTATAAGCACACTTTCTTCGAGGACAAGAATAACACACTATGTATTACTCAATACAGGTATTCTTGGCAGCACTGAGCTGCAATGAATTTCAATTGTATATATTCCTTATAATTAAATCACATTGATTTTGGCTGCATATTTCAGTAAATGCACTCCTTTGGATTTCATTTAGGCCTATATAATTTGCACACTTTAATGACGTTTTATTATGTCCACAGATAAATGGCCTAGACATGAAAAACAGAATTTCAGAGACAGTAGACACTACCTATATGAACCATGAGAAGTAAAGACAAATATCAATTAGTACATTATGAAGATCACAAACTCAGAAAATCAATGAAAGGGTTCCTCCTACCTCTACTAACTGAAATAAAAATTTAGGAAAAATAAATTATTATATGTATTTAGCCTAATGCCATTAATCGGAACGGAAATCGACAAGCTTTTTGTAGAGAAAAAAACCATGCCCGGTCCTATAGGTCAGATCCCCATTTATAATGAAGTGATCCTTTCCGGAAATTAAGGCTTTTGCATGTTCTTTTCAATTGCATTTTCTGTAAATATAGAGATATGTATGACAAAAAATTCTAGAAATAAACATCAAAAGCATATGCTTGCACATTAATCATAGATTAATTTAGCGATATATTGTAATGTTAAGCTTAAAATGGGTAGCCGAAAAGGTTCCAAATGACATACCTAAGTGCACTCATTCTTTAAACACAAGTACAACAAATCATAGAATATTTATGATAGTAACATTTTTGATATTATATTGCCATATAGCCTGATAACAACGAAAACGTCAATAACAATGGTATTAGTAAAAGTCGAAAAATTGTCGTGCGCCGATCACCGATATTTAGCATCATTTAAATGCTATTTTTATATGCATATGACATTACAAGCCTATAATATTTTGTCATAACAACTAAAAGATGATTTCCCAACACCATGCCAAAAATTATTAGTTTTGGTTGAATAGTATTTAAAATATTCAAAAAGTTCGCGTTTTTCTGGGACAACCCTCGTACATAACATAATGCTAAAAATATTCTATGCCTTATGCAGTTCATTTTCTCTCATTTTTTCAATTTCAAATTATTTTAGAGTGTGACTTTCCAATGTTTATTAATAACAAATGGCGAGGATACATTCACGGTCATAAATCATATAGATGTTGATCTAAAACCAGTATTGGAGAAGAAAATTACCTTAGGCTATCAATATAAAACCTTTTTTGTCAAAAACCCATTTTCAAACAAAGATGCTGCATTCCAAATGAGTGAAAACCCAGGAAACAGGGGTAATAATTATAAATAATAATGTTATAGTTTAACGGTTTTATTTTTCAAGAACTTGGTGAAATTATATAATTATACAGTAAAATAAAGTTCAACTGGAATATATATGTAGGACTCCAAAGTCAGATGGTCACGCCAAAGTCCGATGGTGCGGAGAAACAATTTAGGTTTATTACGTCATAGTACTAATCGCCAAACAACAAAGCCGCATCATGTCAAGGTTTCTTATAAGTATTAACATTTATCATTATGCAAAAAATAATCCACATCTCTTGGATAGGTGCAAAACTAAACCTTATCGGTAGAAAAGTGAATAGGCCGAACAGCTATATATACTGAAGGGAAAAAGAAACGCAGGGTAAACTTTTGAGGTGAATTAAATTTGTTTTTCTTAAAATACTTTTTAGTTTTCCTACCTTACTTTTAAAATCATCTTTCAAAAAGATATAGCCAAATTCTCGTGTAATTTTGTGTAATTATTCATGAGTTATTGAAGCTCAAATGACGATACCCCCCAAAAGGGAAAATTGAAAACTCTCATTATCTTCAATGTCCATCTCGTGCATCTATCAGAGTCTTATTTCTCCTTTGCATGGAATTTTATCAGAGTGTTTATCTTTTCAACCCTGGCTCTATTTAGCATGGATAACCACGCAAAAAAAATAAGTCAAACGACGCGCGCGTGCGCCAGTGAGAGGAATACAACAGTAAGTTGACTGGCTCAAAAAACCAAATTGCGGAATTGTTTTCTTTCAAATTTCGTATGAATGTAATGATTATAATCGGGTACACTATAAATGGCTGTTTTTTGTGGTAGTAAGGTGGCGATTTAAGAGATGGCAGGATGTATAACCCGCTCGTAACATGGCTCTGTTTTGCGTTAACGTCAGCGTCACGGTTGATTGAAATCCACTCCAGACCCTCTCTGACAACGGCTAAAAAGTTTTAGGGGGAAATTTATACAAGAGACTGCTTAGTAAACCGTTGTTGCCTTTTTCATTAATTAGGCAATTCGAAAACAAGACCCCACTGAACTTCCGTAAACTGTGCCAAGATTGCAATAAATTCATAAATGTCTCTTAATATTGAAAAACAATGTGCATACCTCATCTGCATCAAATAATGCAACAAGATTTGTGAACAGACACGTCGTTATCAAATTGCACGTGTTTTGGGCTTTTTAGCGTTTTCCCTACGTGACGTCATAAATTTTATGGTTGAGCAATTCTGAACACTAATTTTGGTGCATAATAACTAAATTTCTCATCTGACTAATTTTCGTTATTTTCGGTCATGCGGTCAAATTTTTATCGACAATTATGCTACCCTGCGTTTCTTTTTCCTTTCAGTATAGATATCTAGATATCTTTGGTAGGTGCGATACTATACAATTAGGGACTGTTTAGAAGGGAGACATCACCAGTTATCAGATCCTACTCAGACCTGATAACTGGTGATGTCTCCCTTCTAAACAGTCCATAATAGTTGTATTATCCCGAAGAATATATACAATTATCAATTAGAGAGAGTAGAAAATAGTAATCAAACCTCTTAATTTCTTCTACTCTGCTCCGATTCCATACTTTCAAAATATGTCAACAGACAACTTTGACGTCTTCGTTAGAATTTATTGTTTACCGATCCTTCATAGTTAGCTATTGTAATTATAAATAGGAGTTATCTCACTTAAACCACTGTAGTTTTATTCAAAGGGCGACAACACAGTTGTAACCCTGCATGATCGCTTACGCTATTTCATTATCATCTGAAGGGAAATAACAGTTGTCTCCCTGCGCGTGAGGGAGACATCACGAGTTGTCTCCCTGCACATGACCTGCTCTAAACCAATCAGATTGACTGTTTAATTCTGAAAGATAATAATAACCCTAAAACGTTGACGAGTGCGTGAGGACTAATCCTATATCAAAGCAATCAAAAGGACCGACACTAATCAGTTTGGTGGTGTGCGAGCAATTATCCTAATATCTCTGAAACATGAAAGCAATACACAAAATAAATAAAAGCGTATGCAAGGATAAATTCGGAAATGATGGCATTTGAATGTGTCAAGGATTGACGTCGGATTATTGTTACGTCATAAACGTCGATTTTTTTCTCCGAACCATCGGACTTTGGCATGTCAGACCATCGCACTTTCACGCAACGTGTCTCAAAGGAAACGAGCCATTGGACTTTGGCGTGACCATCGGACTTTGGCGTCCGTGATGACAACAAAGCAACGGGGTTTAGTGCAGACCATTGGGGTTTGGAGTCTTACAAATATAACATAATTTATTCATGTGGACAAATATAAATAATAATAATAAAACGATATTAACATTTTGTTTAGGGATACGGGGGTTTTGGATTTACAAAATGACTACTGGAATTCCCCCGAACAAAGACGAAAGAGAATGTAACTATTGGTACACAAAGAATCTAAGAGAAAAAACCAACGGCCTATTATCCCCTGTGCTAAATCAAATTGAATGTGCTTGTGATAGCCGTCTGCTACGATTTGACCCAAGATATGCTATAAACAGATTTGACAGAAAGAATAGAGTTCTATGCTTTGCATCCATGACAATTGGAAGGAATGCAGTAAGTCATCATTATTATTGTAAAACTTTAATCGAATATGAATCAAAAGAAACAGGACAGTTTGACTTGCAAAGTCATATTGGGAGCGTATCTGTGACGATGTCATCGGGATCTGTTACATTGTACATGTACATTGTTTACCAAACTTAAACTATGCTACATAGATGTATTCTAGATGATTATTAAATTGATTTTCAATAGAATTACAAAAGAACTGAATTAATATTATTATCCAGAACCCGATGATATGGAATGTACCTGAAAATTAGCATTTATTCATAAAAGAATAAAACAGTAAGAAACAAAACAAAACGCTTAATAAGAATAAGATTAGGTTCAAGAAAATAACGTCCATGAAGCAAATTATAACACTTTGTTATTTTTTGCAGGAATGCTGTTATAGGATGCATGGTTCAATCAATAGTTTAAGTACATTAGAGAGGTCTAGACCTGTTGCTGGAACTCTGTTAAAGTATAACCCATTCTTTGAACGACAACTCTACAGTCAAAGTGACCTAAAACCCAAGGAGGCGTGTTGTAATTCTGGACATTGTGATTGGTATTATGAAGTGCGTCCAATTCCATGGTGTTATTGGAGGTCTCCGTTTCAACCCGGTAAAAAGCAAATGATATACATATAGGAATAATAGCCTCCAAAGGCACAGATTCATTTATAATTAGGATTTATTTCCTTTAATAGCTTAAAGATATGTGCTAAGAACAAACCTTAGCTGTTGTATTTTCTTTTTCTTTATAAGGTGTAAATTTTGGTGACCCACACATTTTGACACTCGATGGAAAAAATTACACATTTAATGGATACGGAGAATATACTATGATGAAAATAAACAAGGATTCTGTACGATTTAAGTTTCAAGCTAGGACAGATCTGGCAACAACAGCTAATGGAACCACCACCAATGCTACAATATTTAGCGCGTTTGTAGCAGAGGACCAAACCGGATCAAAAGTGCAGATAGAAATGACTCGAGACAAGCAAAGTAAAAGCAACATATCATTCTTATTATAATACAAAAGAAGATAGACAGGTGTAAAGCTTCACACACATTTTAAACTCGAATAAGTTTTGCACAAATTAACTTCATATTGTTACAATGCAATATGTGTAACTTTTTTTGAAAATTCAAAATGTTTATAAACAAACTAAAAGATCATTCTTTTATAAAATTGTTGTTTCACTCAGTTAAGGATTTCCTTTTGCAATTATTTCCTTCAACTTTTGCAATAAACCACATTTCCGTCAGCACTATAGGTCGTTGAATGTACTCTTACAGTGAACCAAGCATGGTACAGATCCTGTAACTTGTATTTACTTACATAAACCTGCCTAAAAAGTGCAAGGTGATAACAAAGATTTTCATCTGTTCAACTGCTGTAAAAGATGGTATTTTTTCTGAATAACTTTCTAAATGAACTATCCACCCAAATGCACAATTCAAATCGTAATTCTAAATGCATTTTCAATCGCAATGCAAATAAATGCAAATCAATAGTAAATATTTTCTATATTTAAAGATAAACAATTCTTCATTACATGTACCGTACCTTTTAAAATTCCATATGAGTGAAAAATTCTCAAGAGAGACGTTAAACAAACAAGCAAATTCAAAGAATTGTGGTCCCCCGCTTTCGTTATCTTCGTGGGCAAGATATCAGTTTTAGGATCAAGGTCAATAGGTCAAAGTTTTTGGTATCCCATGAAAGGTCTTGCCATAAAGAATACATATATTTAAAATATGAAAGTCCTAGTTTGTACCATTCAAAAGTTGTGACCAAGGTTAACGTTTTTAAAAAGTAGTTAAAACTCCAAGGTCAAGGTCAAAGGGTCAAAGTTCTTGGTATGCAATGAAAGATTTTCTCACAAGGATAACAAACGTGAAGTACGAAAGCCCTAGCCCTTACCGTTTAAAAGTTATGGTCAAGGTTAAAGTTTTTTCAGAAGTATGTTAATCTCCAAGGTACAAAGGTCAAAGTTGTTGGTATCCAATGAAAGGTGTTGCCTCAAAGAATACATGTGTGAAATATAAAAGTCCTTGTATCTATCGTTCAGAAGTTGTGATCAAGGTTATAATTTTTAAAAAGTAATTAAAACTCCAAGGTCAAGGTCAAAAGGTCAAAGTTCTTGGTATCCAATAAAAAGTCTTCTTACAAGAATAACATATGTGAAGTATAAAAGCCGTAGCCCTTACCGTTCAAAAATTATGGTCAAGAATATAATTTTTTCATAAGTACATAAATTTCCAAGTTCAAGGTCAAAAGGACATAGTTGTTGGTATTCCTTGAAAGGTCTTTTCACAAAGAATAAATGTGTGAAATATGAAAGTCATAGTACCTACATGTACCATTCAAAAGTTATGGCCAAAGTAAAAGTTTGGAATTTTTTAGTAAAAGTAGTTGAAACTCCAAGCTCAAGGTCAAAAGGTCAAATTTGGTGGTACCCAAAGAAAGGTCTTATCACAAGGAATACACATATGAAATATGAAAATCATAGCTCCACTAAATCAAAAGTTATGGGCAAGGTTAAAGTTTTTGTGACGAACGGACAGACTGACGGACCGACGGACAGACAGACGGACAGACGAATGAAATTTTATGTCCCCTCGCTTTCGCGAAAGCGGGGAACAAAAAATAAATCTTTGAAATTTTTTTTCGCAGCAGCGTTGACCATTTCAATCAAGACGAGTATGGTAAATGAACGCAGTTACAACACATTTGAAAAATTACGCACTTTGAAAATTTTTTCAAAGTGCGTTTAATTTGGGACCAAATCAACGCACTTTGAAAAAATAAATTTTCTTTTCAAAATGCGTTAAAATTGACCATATTAACACACTTTGAAAAAATATGTTTGGCTTGGTCAATAATCTTGCAAAGCTCAGCAGGTGTGTTGAATAATTGAATCTTTTGATAATTTTCCGGTCATGCGGATGTGAAAGTGAGTAATAAATATTTCAATACTTTGAAAATTCTTTCTCTTTTAATTTCAGACGACACGTTCCTTAAAATTATATATAATTTTTCCAAGAATTTGTCATTGATATATCTTAAACAAGCTTCCTCTCAAAAATTAAGGTACCTTACCAGGCATTTAGACAGATACCCCAGAGTGATATTTCTCATAATATACTGTACATGTATATCTCATATGGATAATTATCTGAATGACCTATATCACAATTTTTGATGTACATGTACTTATATTTAAAAACATTGAAAACAATGTAGAATTCACAAATGACAATAAGCATATTTTATATCATACATGTACCAAGAGAAACAAAAGATAATTTTTAAGTAACGGTAAAGTAGACAAGGCTCATGCCATGATATTTTGCGTATGATGAATATGTTAATAAATGCTTGTTCAAAGCATATTCTTTTCAATAAAGAAGTTAATTCTAAATACGATTAGACAGTTTCCAGTGATTTGCTGAATCTCGTTTTGTTAACCCAAGTTTTGTTAACTTTCCTACATGTAAACAAACACTACACAAGAGCCTTATTTACTTCATGAAACATTTTAAGGTCCGAATCTCATTTGTTAATCAACAAATAAAGTTCTTTTTTTTGCTAATCATTTGAAATTTTTTAATCATATGTTGATTTGGACTTGTAAACATGCATTGTAAAAATTTGGTTGTTTTTGAATCAGTTGAAACTGTGTCCATGGCCTTTAAGAAGCCATTTTTAAAATTCCACAGACGAGTTAAAAAAAATCGATTAATGCAAATTATAAATATCTATTGTAAAATCATAAACATCTGTGCGATAAACAATGTGAGTTTTAAAAAGTGCGCGAATTTTCATTTCCTTGAATTCTGTCTGTAATGTTGTCTGCCTGCTATGTACAAGTTATATGTAAATTGTTTTTTCTAACATCCAAAAATTTCTTTAAAGACATGATTATAAAAGTTAATGGGAGAGATTTAACAAGAGACTTTGAAAATGTCAACTACACCTTCCTCACTAGAAATTTATCAGTTCGATGGGAAAACCAAACTATATCTGCCTCTTTTCTGGATTCATGTAAGTAATATGACAAGTTGTTGTCATAGTTGTATATATCAATGTTGAAGAGGGTTGTCACAAAAACTAAATTATTTTACTTAAAGGTTTTCAATTAATGTTTTAAAACTTAATATTTTTTTTCAAGTAGTTGCAAATAACCGACTTTAAAATGATCTATTCGCAACCGAAGAATTTTATTCTTAAATTATTTTCCTTTATATCTCTTGCAAGAATTTTGCACTCGATTGCGTGGTCATTATATTCAATTGAAAGGCTTCGTATTTAGACTTTTATTTAGCATTAAGAGCCTTGGAATGCTATTTGCCATTTTTGCAAAATATATTCTTAAGGACTTACCGTATTTTTCAAAAGTTCGATGTATTTAAAATTAAAATTCCAATACGCACATTTTCTAAAATTTGTGTTTGTACTGTGATATACCGCTGTAATTTATCACTTATTAACTCAAATGAAATCCTCTGAAAACGATCACATGACCCTATTACGTCAAAGAGGACAATGGCTGATCAGCTATTCAAATTAATTTACCTAAAATACCCTATACAATCAGAATTGGACGACCAAATCACTTATTTGTTTATTAGCTCACCTGAGCCGAAGGCTCAAGTGAGCTTTTCTGATCACATTTTGTCCGTCGTCCGTCCGTCCGTCCGTCTGTCCGTCCAAACGTCTGTTTGTCCGTCTGTAAACTTTTCACATTTTCGACTTCTTTTCAAGAACCACTGGGCAAATTTTGACCAAACTTGGTACAAAGCATCCTTGGGTAAAGGGAAATTTAAATTGTTAATATGAAAGGACATATCCCCTCGCAAGGGGAGATAATCAAGAAAAGACAAAAATAGGGTTGGGTCATTAAAAAATCTTCTTCTCAAGAACCACTTGGCCAGTAAAGCTGAAACTTATGTGGAAGCATTCTGGTAAAGTGTAGATTCTAAATTGTTCAAATCATGACCCCCGGGGTAAGGGCAGGGCCACAATGGGGAATCAAAGTTTTATATAGAAATATATAGGAAAAATCTTTGAAAATCTTCTTCTCAAGAACCACTGGGTCAGAAAAGCTGAAACTTATGTGGAAGCATTCTGGGGTAGTTTAAATTTTAAATTATAGGAATCATGACCCCCGGGGGAAGGGCGGGGCCACAATGGGGAATCAAATTTTTACATAGAAATATATAGGAAAAATCTTTGAAAATCTTCTTCTTAAGAACCACTGGGCCAGAAAAGCTGAAACTTATGTGGAAGCATCCTGGTATAGTGTAGATTCTAAGTTGTTCAAATCATGACCCCCGGGAGTTGGGCGGGGCCACAACGTTAAATCAATGTTTTACATAGAAATATATAGGAAAAATCTTTAAAATCTTCTTCTCAAGAACCACTGGGTCAAAAAAGCTGGGAAAGATTTGGAAGCATCCATGGGGTAGTTTAGATTTAAAAGTGTTCAAATCTGGGAACCACTGGGAAAGAAAACCTGAAACTTATGTGGAAGCATCCTTGAGTAGTGTTGATTCTAAATTGTTCAAATCATGACCCAGGGGTAGGGTGGGGCCACAATGGGGAATCAAAGTTTTACATAGAAATATATAGGAAACATCTTTTAAAATCTTATTCTCAAGAACCACTGAGCCAGAGAAGCTGAAACCTATTTGGAAGCATCCTGGGGTAGTTAAGATTCAAAATTGTTCAAATCATGACCCACGGGGGTTGGGCGGGGCCACAATGTGGGTTCAATGTTTTACATAGAAATATGTAGAAAAAATCTGAAAATCAAAGCTGAAACTTATATGGAAGCATAGATTTCAAATTGTGTAAATTATGATCAGTGGGGTAGGGTGGGGTCAAAATATATATTACAAGGGGGAAATCTGGTAAAGAACTGAATGGCCAAAGCTTCTCAGGTGAGCGATGTGGCCCATGGGCCTCTTGTTTGTATCTGTAAACATCATAAAATAGCCATGATAATAGCGAAGTAAACGCGACGAAGAGGAAGAAACTCGCCAATACACAGTTCAATACAATTTGATTTGTCATCATTAATACGCATATTAACCCATTTTATACCCAAAATTAATAAACATTAAATGACCTTGAATTTTTTCGTTTGTTTTCGATATTAACTATATATTTATTCATATATGTATTCTGTATAAAATGATAATGTTCTTGCAAACTTTTTTTAATCACGACACGTTTTTCTTGAAATATTTAAGAGATTAATTTAAAATCAAAAACTCGAAAGAAAGTTTTAAATTTTATTTTTACATAATTTTATTAATTACTCAGCAGCGAAAGATGGATTATTTTAAAACAGCTCAGAAGCTAATAAAATTTTTTTAAACAAATTATTTAGTTTTAACTAATGGCAGATTTGTATCTTTTAAACTTTTTAAACCCAGGGAAAATTAGCTAAAAGTTTACTTTACTTACACATTGTTGTAATCCTCTAGACCAATTATCATTAATTATTTTTTTACTGTTGGCTGAAGAAGGTTATTTTGTATTTTACAGCAATTATTCTAAAAGTCAGTCTAGGTGTACGTTTTTTGATTTCGGAAACAATCGTTGATAGAACGTACATGGGATTCACAAGAGGATTGATGGGGAATTTTGACGGAGATATAAACAACGATTTTATCCTACCAAACGAAACTATACTAGACAAAAATGCAACAAAAACTGAAAGAGATATTTACTACAAATTTGGTCAGCAATGTAAGTTTTTATTAAGTACAGTGTTTTGTAGCAATATTTCCATAATGATTTTTAGTGTTGGTTGTATTTTTCTGTATATTTCCCTTGTATACAATATCACTCCTTTAAAAAAATGAATAGAGATCCCTTTACTCACTACATTAGTGTGATATTAAAATAAACATTCCGAACAGATTATCATTATATTTTCTTCATAATTTAAAGTTTTAAACTACAAATGTATTACAAACCTTATTTCATGCCATTACTTTTAGACAAAGTTAACTTTTATATACCTACTCTACTCTGTTGAATTTAATTGCATACATACAGCATCATTCTAACATCAATATATATAAGTTTGTAACGCGATAAAGTTATGTGTATTTAAATGTAAAAATGAATGTATGTTGTTAATTTATCATCCACTGAGTAATTGGTCATTGTAGTTTGTCTTAAATCAAATTGATTAACCAACCAGATTGATTTTAATAATTAGGGCTGGTAAATGAGGAATCTATATTCCATTACGATAAAGGACTCACAAACAAAGACTTCTCCCATCCTGAGTTTGAACCGCTTTTTTTGGACGAGACAAATGAAGAGGCATTGGAAAATGCGAAGAAAAAATGTGGAGTAAACCCATCACAAGCCTGTATTTTTGATTATCTGGCAACAGGAGATATTGCACTTGCTGGATCATCGGGGACAGAAGAAACAATTTCCATTTCTGAAATCAAACTAATTGGTCAATAAGCCTATTTTGTTTTGATATGTATTAAACCGTATTTGACACTAAAGTTACCTTTTTTATACATTCTTTTCGTTTGTTATATTCATGTAATTGTTTATTATTGCGTAACTTTCAGTATAACATTCTTTTATGCTTTAAAGAAAATGAAACTCCGAGAATATCAGGGAACACCTCAGTTCAAGTTGAAGTCGGTAAAGTTGTTGAATTGTGGTTTAATGCTTCTGATGACAGCAAAGAAATGCCCAAATACAATATTCTGAAAAGCCCTGAGGATTTTTATCTAAACACAACTTCCGGAGAAGCAATGTGGACTCCAAAAAGTACAAATATATCGGAAATCAGGTATTTTAAAGAACATTTCCTTCGTTACAAACCAAATAGTTATGACATGCTGCTGTATATCTTGGTCAATGATCGAATTGTAAATTTAGTTTAAGTGTAGTGGATGAACTAGGAGCCGAATCACCCTCGCTGGATGTCGAAATTACTTTATGCGGAGGCTGCCAAAATGAAGGCCGTTGTGACTATCTCAATGCAAAACTGACAGAAAATGACCGATTCAAATTAGCTTTGTGTGATTGCGAAACTGGTTATTCTGGTAAGAAAAATAATGAACTCGTGTATGTTTGTTGGCTGTATAAACGTTTTAAAGTCCCATAGAAAATTTATGATTTCCGACTTTTTTTCCAGGCGACAAGTGTGAAATAGATACAAATGGGTGCTTTGGTGGCCCGTGTCCATTAGGAAGAAACTGCACTGATCTCACCCCAGAAGAGGAGAAAAGACTTGGAAGAGCATACAATTGCTCAGACTGTCCTCCAGGGTTTGAAGAAGTTGGACACAAATGTGAAGGTTTAAAGCTTATAGATAGAATATTGATTTTAATGAGTAAATCATATATGATATAATAGAATTCTAAAAGCATAATTTTATCTTTGTTTAAGATATCAATGAATGTAGAAATGGAAATACAAGTGTTTGTGATTTAACATCGGAAACCTGTGAGAATACGGAGGGGAGCTTCTTGTGTACATGTATTCCTGGATACCGAAAAGAAAATGAGACATGTAGAGGTATTGTATCTAATAGCTTACATTTTTAGGGTTCAAAGTTTCAAGCGTGGTTATTTGAATTTTACGTTTGATTTAAAACATCTAACAATAAAATGAAAGTACTGAATTAAATTTTTCAGCAGTATTTTTAATGAACATTAATTTACCATATTTCACTTTAGAAATTTTTAACTGGATACAATGAAAAAAATGAAAGAAAAGGTATTACATGAATGTGGTGCTGTAAAATGAACTCTGAGGAATTGTAAGGGCTGATAAAAAGATGTTAAATCATTTAAATAATTTTTAATTAAATGTAGGTAGATAAGAAGAATAATTATAAGTGTGATTTTTCCATCTATCTATTTGAACTCTGTAGATTTACTTTCATTACAGATATTGACGAATGTTTGGAATTAACGTCTGGGTGTGAGCAAAAATGTGTAAATATTCTCGGTTCCTTTGTATGTCAATGTTTCCCAGGATTTTCTTTAAACAAGGACAATACTTCCTGCAATAAAACCGGTTTGTTCATTTTCTCATGAATGTCTTTGTATATAAAAAAATTGATACAAACGGTATAGGCAATAATTGGCCTGATAATCAATAAAGAAGGAGTTGATTAACATTTTTTCTATACTAAAGCTCGATGTCTTTTCTTTAACTCTATGCAATGTTTAATTTTATAATATTCTTAAAAATTAACTTAAGGATTATGTTTACTTAGGTTATAGAAAACAGAAAGGGGATTTTATGAAGTATAATACATGTGTATGTTAAATAAAAAAATGGTTCTAAATGAATAAAATTACTAAGTTTTAACTCGATATCAATTTAAAAAGTTTAATAAGTATGTTTTTAAAGAAAATATACAGGAACAAAAGTCAATGTATGGTAATGCAGAGGAAATTCGGACTAAATTTTTTACTATTCATTTTTGTCAAAATCTTTTACTTTTTGCAATATTAATCATTATATAAAGGTAAGATATATTTTTAAACATATTTTTGCAAATATTAAATGTGTTACAGTTTATGAATTATTTCAAATAATTGAATGCTATAAAATAAAAAATAAATTCAAAAATATAAACAAAAATCATTCCAGACAACACATCTCAATAATTTAATCATTGACACCATTTCATGTCGATACCATGAAAATTAGGACAACAAAAGAAACCTGAGGCTATAAAAATCTAGAGTTCTTGTCACTCAGATTTTTGTAATATTCGATTAAAAATGGAGGAAAATAAATAATGACAGAGGAAATTTGGACTCTGATAATTATATATGACCAAAAACTCTAGTCGTTTCTTTTCAGGAAGCCACACTGTCCATGTTGTAATATTTCATTATTTAAAGAGTTTTTTTGCATGTAATATTTTGTGAGTGAAGAAAATGGTCATAGTGAGAAAAGTTAGGTATACATATCCAGAGAAATACTTAGGGGCCACTAGCATGAAAAGCAGGTCATTGACCTAGTAATTTGAAATTGAAATTCAACACACACATCATAGGTGTACAATGTGCCATAGGTGGTTTTTCGTTCTTATCAGTCGAATTTTTAGTCATCTGAGGAAAGGTATACCTTAAACTATCTACAAACCTTCAATTATTTTGATTTACTGTTCCGTATGCTTCTACATGTATAATTGCTTTTTGAGATTGTAGAGCTTGACAGATATCACATCAAAGTAAAGTCTATTGTTTCATTAATATGATGTTTTATTTGTAAATGATTTAAATTTACTTTCTCATAATCTATACAAGTAATTCATTACGGTTTTGTTCTACAGATGAAAATCAATGTAAAGACATTTCCGTCAGCTGCGAATATGCATGTAACACGACGACTGGAAGTTGCATCTGTCCAATAGGCTATCAACTGCATAAAAATAACCAAAGTTGCATAGGTAAAAAAATATGAGAAACTTACTATCGTTTATGTTAGTCTCTTGACACACAAAATGATGCATTTATACATGTGTATGTATTGTGAATTTCAGATGTAAATGAATGTGAAGCGACACCTTTCCCCTGTGAGCAAAACTGTAGCAATATTAATGGTTCCTTCCAATGTTTTTGTCGTCAAGGATACGCCTTAAATGCAGATAAAGTTTCATGTACCGGTAATTTTATTTTTTGGCATCGCCTTTTTAACACAAATATGAAAACTTTATTCTACAATGATGATAAATGTATTATAGCCAAGACAAATGTGTATTTTTCCGTTTACAGAACCTACCGTTATAATGGTGTTGAGTATATACACAAATAATTATAACTAATTTTAGATCCGGAAAAATCAACAAATGCATACGATAATTTTTATAGAATGCAAGGAACCATATTACGGGGAAAATTGCAGTCAAATATGCACATGTGGACCAGGTATGGACAAGTGTAATCCAGTAAGTGGGTGTGACTGTCTGGAAGGATGGGCAGGAGAAACCTGCAGTGATGACATTGATGAGTGTAAATCAAACCAATCAATTTGTGGATTTGACAAAGTCTGTCAAAATCTGGAAGGGTCCTACATCTGTAATTGTAGGGAGGGATTCCAAAGAGTTGGAGATAATTGCGAAGGTATCTGATATTTTTAAACTTTGTTACATTCTTCAAAATACAAAGTACTTTTTTCTTTTCCATTTTTCCACTTTAATTAATATTTAAATAGTAAGACCAAATGGCATATTGTAAACCAACAATTATTCGCGTGTGAGAAAAATTCGCGAGTTTCGCGACCGACTTAAACTTGCGAATGTTCCATCGCCGCGAACCAATAAATTTACTTAGAATACGTGAGGAGTTTTTCGAAAATTAATCGTCGCGGATTGATTTCAAACGGACGATTCGCAAATAAAACATGACGCGAATAATAATTGATTTACAACATATTGATTGGTATTTTTTCAGACATTGATGAATGTTCTGATTTGAGCTTAAACGATTGCCCGGAAAACACAGTTTGTAAAAATCTTTATGGAAATTACACGTGCCTCTGCAAGGAAGGATTTCAAAAGCAAGGTTCTGTCTGTGAAGGTATGTCCTCTCATTCTATCATTCATTCGAATGCTTACGAACAATTTTCATACTTACTGCATGTTAGGCCAATTTTTAAACGATGCATTGTTTATGGATTTTCCCTTTGCCTGATCATGATAAAAGCAGCCTAATGTGGTTGTGACTGTAAAAGATTATTACTTTTCCATATCACCTGATCCCATATCTTCAGGGGTTTTTGATTGCTGCACCCAATTAAATTCTTTCTTTCTATAAGAATTTTAGTTGTAGGTTTCCGTTCGTTATTATCTCCATAATTTATTCTCTCGTGCTAACATTGTGTCACTAAATATAACAGATATGAAAAAAATTGAAATGTTTCAACATACAGTACATTTTCAAAGAACACACTACAGCGTTATAATTGCTAAGTATGTACAGATATGTTCACATCGTCAAAGAGATTGAATTTTATTGAAATCACCAATGCTTTTGCCTCTTCAACTAACATTTTGAGTATAAAATTGTTAGTTTTTTTAATGAAGTTTTTTTTAAATACATGACACTTTCCTTTTTTCTAAATCAATATTCATGGTTCTCCAAGAGCTGCTTTACTGTGTTGGTCCCGACAAAGTAAAATTTTCTCCGACACAGCAATGATTCAATTTTTATACGTGCAACACAGTAAAAAAAATTTGCCGACACAGTAAGATCTGTGATAATCAAGAAAATCTAAACATATATATCCTCTCTATCTGAAACTTTAATCAAACAATTCTACAAAAAGATAGAGCACTTAATTAGGGCCTCACAATGCATTATCAATATAATCTCCCCGACCCTCGCCGGACTTTACGCATGAAGGAACAAAGCCAATTAATTTGTTTTCACTCTTCTATTAAAGGTTAATTGGTAGTCGCATTAAAAATATATTGCATAATAAAAAAAATATGTCTTTTCTAAAGATTCACGGCTCTAGAATTATTGTGGCGCTGTATGTCAAACATAACTTCGTACCGAAATCATTAAATTTATATAAATGAATTGTTTTAGATTTTCAAAAAACTCTTTACAATGTATTATACCCATCTAGAGTTTCTTTTTTGAAATTCGATAACTGAAAATTGACAAATAATCACGGCAGTTTTACTTTTAGAAATGTTAAGTAGTTCGACTGTATCGACCAGAATTTCCTTTGCTTTTCAGAACACCGTTTTTGTTTTTATTATTATGTGCGGCCTTACAATTTCTTTTACGAATTATGATTTTTTTTAAAAGTGTGTGCATGTATTCTTTTGGAATTATAATGAATAGTGATTCAGTTGCATATTTGATCGTGAAAATACCGCGAGTTTTTAAGCGATGGAAAACCTTGAATATACTCTGAATGTAAAGGTTATCATATTGGAAGAAGCATATGGAGATAACGAACATTATTCAATATCAGAGTCCTTAAAACAATACAAAATAAGAGCAGAGCAAACACAGACCCCCGAGACATCAGAGGTGGGATCGGGTGCCATGGAGGAGTGAGCATCCCATGCCGACCGGTCACACCCACCGTGTGATCCTTGTCATGATCGGGAAATAACGGGAAATTCCGTCGTCAAGGTCATTGTATCGACCGTAGAACTTACCAAATGTAAACTTTAAACGAGACTGCTAATATTCTTGTTTCATCAACTTGCTTGTAAATAATTAACCTCGTTCTTGAAATTGTTCATACGTAGAGCATGCTCATGTGTATCGAATAAATTGAGATATATCCACTCTTTATGCAGGTGATGAAGGTATATTGCTGCGTAAGTAAGGGAAGTTGACCATAAAAAGTTTAAGTCATTACGTTTATCATATAGCTTGGTTGATAGAATACCATTAACGTCTTTTTCAAGTAAAATATACAAGTATGAAACAGATGTGTCAAACTCTGTGGTATCTTTTATCTCAAGCTCGCCAGGATATATCATATCGACGTAGAAATGGAAATTACCATTGTTTATTGACAACACGTCGTCGATATATCTAAAAGTCGAGTTGAAGGCCACAGCAAGTGTTTTCTTCTTTTCTTGCATAAGATTTTGCAAATTCTGCTTTATATGAATACAAACTAATCTAATAACGAAGCGCAATTGGTACCCATGGGAATCCCAATATATTGTTTGAAGACATGGTCTCCAAAACCACATAGATATTGTCAATCAGAAACTCAAGCATTTTTTTATTTAAACTTTAGAGTACTTGTGTGTGTAATCAGAATGTGTTTTAAGAAAATAATTTTGCAAATGACCAATTCATAGAATTATAGAGTTTTATTGCCAAAGGGTGTGTTTCTTTAGTTAGAAGTAATGTATTTTATGATTTATCATACAGATGTAGATGAGTGTACTCAAAATATCGATGATTGTTCTCAAATATGCTCTAACACCGAAGGAGGGTACAACTGCGAGTGTGAGTTTGGTTACTCCCTTCAAAATGATAGAAGGAATTGCGAAAAAGGTAGATCATTTATTAATACTAATTGAATGGAAGTAAGGACTTTCTAAATATTTTTTTGCAAATACCAGCATTCCTCACATTCTTGTTTTCATCATTTGTTGGCTTTAAGTTTGCATTTGTAATTTTGCTTTCTGTACGCCTAAATAGTTTCATAAAACATATGTGCATATATAGACTATAATCAATGCAAAATGCAACTAAAGTTTAGATATATAATACAAATTTCTTTCCGCCAGGATTTCAATAAAACTTTTTTATCTTTTAAAATATTTTTATGCATATTTTGCTTTGATATTTATTTTTTTATAGCTAATAAGGTTCAATAATGTAAACTTTTTTAATGTGTTTCCGCCTACACAACAAAATATGCTGTACTACAACAATCTGTAATGTTAACATGATGTCATTTGTTTTCAGTTTCTGATATATGTACCTTGTTTCCGGAATTGAATTGCAGTTATGGTTGCATTCTGAGGCAAGAATCAAGTTTATATAATGGTTCTTGCTTTTGTAAATCTGGATTTGAACTTGATATCGACAACAGCACATGCAAAGGTAATACATGTAAAATTTACTATAAAAGATAAAATAATGTATTTGATTTATCTTTAAAATCATTGAATTAAGAGGATTAGGGATTAGACCAATATATATTTTATCTGATAGATTATTTACGCTTCAATAGTGTATTTACCATTACATTAGCTTGTTCGGAATAGTTGTCGCACATTGTCTCCATGCTTGTTTTTGAATTAAAATTCCCAATAAACTGGTAAAAAAAATAAAAAGACAGGGAATAGAAGAATGCGCGATATGATTGTTCTTCAATTTTTTGTCTTTGTCAGAATGTTCATAATATACGACGGTAACGTGAATTAAGTTGTTAGTTACAACCTTGAGGATATGAAAGATCCTATTATTTTATAGAAGAAACAAATGGATATAGACGAATTTCAAAATTCTCATAAAATTACTATAGTAACTGCATTTACATTAGAAAGGGGTAAAAAAGTGATGCTAAGGAAATTATTTCCTTTTTATTCGTTTATTTTTTTAAAAATGGAAATAAGTACACCTTTTTAAGATTGATTGATTGTATATTGATTAACGTCCCTTTCGAGAATTTTTCACTCAGATGGAGACGTCACCGTATGCCGGTGAAGGGCTTTAAATTTTGACCTTTACTCAGCACTCAGGGCCATTGAGCAGTGAGAGATCTTTATCGTGCCAATGCCTGCCGCTGACACGGGGCCTCGGTTTTTAAGGTCTCATCGCGGCCGAGATACGAACTCACGACCCCCCGATCACGGAGCGAGCGCTCTACCGCACGTTTATAAGATATATCAAGTCAAGATGCGTGAAAGGGGAAATGCACTCAAGATGAAAGGGATACTGTTTCATATTTGGAAATTTTACTTTAAAAAGACGTTAATATTAATCTAACAACCAAGCTCTATGATGAACGTGATGACTTTAATTTTTTAATCGTCGACTTCCCTTACTTATGCAGCAATATACAATACCTTCATTACCAGCATACGGAGTTTATATATCTAGTAAGTTGATTCGATACGCAAGAGCATGCTCTACGTATGATCAATTTTTAAAACGAAGTAAATTATTGACAAACCAGTTGATGAAACAAGAATTTCATATGTGTCGTTTAAAGTTATCATGCTTAAATTCTATGGTCGATACAGTAAATACAATCTATCATTGATTCAAATCTTGTGTGACGTTTTAATACTAATCCATTATTTATAAATACACTTGATTGACGACGGATTTTTCCGTTATTTCCCGATCATGACAAGAAGCCTACGATGGGTGTGACCGGTCGGCAGGGGATGATCAATCATTCATGACACTTGATCCCAATGCCGATCTTCTGGAGGTCCATGTTTGCTCTGCTCCTATTTTGTACCGTTTTATGATTTTTGATGTTGAATCCTGTTCGTTATCTCCATATGTTTCATTTTAAAAGAAATCGAAAGCAGTAGCCTAGAATTGGGGTATAACGTTTGTTTCGTGATCGGTAGGTACCGGGTTCGATTCTCGTTCCCGTGTTAAAACCTAACATGCTAACATAGGTAGTGACTGTTCCTTTGCCAGGCACCCAGTACTTTAGATGATAGTCTTTCGCATGAAACCTTAACAACCGAGGTTCCCATTCACGGTAGGCATGGCACGATAAAGAACCCCCACTCCTCAATGGCTCTTAGTGCCAAAAATAGATATATGTTTAAATCCCTTCACTTTCAATTGGTTAAGTCTTATTATGAGTGAAATATTCTCGGACCCTTAACAACAGATAATCAATCAATCTTGACATTTTTTGCATTATAAAAGATTTCATGGCTTTTTAAATCTATCTTAAAATGTAATTTTTACATCAAATCGAACGTTTCATTTTATTTTATGTTTTTCAAAAATGATATTCTAAGAAATATAATGATATATGTCTTTAATTTAAGATATTGATGAATGTAAAATGTTTGGAACATGTGAACACAATTGCACAAATACAGATGGTTCATTTGAATGCGGATGTAACATTGGACACACTTTGCAAAATGATGGAAAATCATGTGAAGGTATTTTGTATAATATGAGATGTTCAAATCAAATTTTTCTTGTTATTTTAAGTGATAGTTTAATAGTATTTAAAAAGAATGTTAAAGTACTATAAGTATTTTATGATTTTTTTGATACTACGTTCCGTTTTTGAAGTTTGCATCGACGGATTTTATGGCGATAAATGCTTAAAAGAATGTCGATGCGGCCCAGGATCTGAAAGATGTGATCACATTAATGGCTGTGTTTGTAAGACGGGGTGGACTGGAGAGTCATGCAATCAGGACATCAATGAGTGTAACAATACAGTGAGTCCCTGCCCAGGAAGCAATGAAACATGCATCAACAATGATGGTTCCTACACTTGTGTATGCAAGGATGGATTTCAGAATTCTACAAACGGATGTAAAGGTACAACATTCATGTCTTCTTCCATAGAGGAATTACTCTGAATATAAAGTGTACTTCAAAAAATGCCCAGTGTATCAATTACATAAAATGCACTTACAATTTTTGTGCAGAAAATCGAAATTTTCGGTGACTGTTGCTAATTCAGTGGTACATTGAATCGAGAAGAATGCTAAACGTACTAGCATTTTATTTCGTCTTTTTCTAAACTTCTCAGATGTGAATTATAGCAAAATAAAGCTTGATTAATTTCTCTAATTCAGGTCCAAAGATCCTAAATAGAAAACAGACTTAAGTCTTAATTCCAATCCACTATAATTAATGAAATGATTTTAAAAATAAATAAGACTTTTCATCATGTATTTTTATTTTAATATATTATGAACCTGCAAGTTTTTAAACATACATTGTATTTTATATATAGAAAAATATTCAAAAGACAAGTTTCGTCTCAAGTTTATTCTCATTTCATGATCTCAGGTCCAAGCAATTGCAAAGAATACATTGATTTGTTTTGTCTTTATAAAGAATGTGAAAATGGATATTATGGAAGAGGTTGTGATTTGCAATGTTTATGTGACACAAATAATACGGATTCCTGCGACTCGATGAACGGATTCTGCAGCTGCAAGGAAGGATGGGAGGGCACCTATTGTTCCAACGATATCAATGAATGTCTGAACTCTTCTATTTGTGGAAACATTCCATACTGTCTCAATTTAAATGGCTCTTTTTCTTGTCACTGTGAAGATGGATTTTTCCTTGATGGCGGACTTTGTGTTGGTAAAATACCTTCATAATCTTCATTTTCAATTTAATTTCCAATTAAAATGTTGCAATTTCAGATTCAGCCACCATAAAAGTTTAAAAATATGCTTTTATAATATCTATTTCGTGTAAATTTAATCTCTATAAATAATTTTATCTATAAATTAGAATGTTGTATGTGCATGGTTTTACGTTTCAAGATGTGATAACTTTTTAGAGTTTAGGTAGATCAGTCAACAGGTATCAGGTAACCATTATAGACATCTGGCAATGTGCAAAACTAGGAAAAGAATCAAATTTATCAAATGAATATATATGTATATCTGAGTAATTTATTAATAAAATATAAACTTCTTTCTAACATTTCACAAAGGTTGTCCCTTAAAAAAATACGGCCAGAACTGTAGCAGTATTTGTACATGTGAATTTAATAATACTCAGTCCTGTGAAAAACAAAATGGGACATGTAACTGCAAGGCGGGATGGCAGGGTAAAAACTGTACAGAAGACATACCAGAGTGTACAAACAATCCATACATTTGCGGAAATAATTCATCATGTAATGAGACACAAGGATCATACTCGTGTATTTGTGATATTGGCTTTGAGATGTCATCGACACAAAATTGTACAAGTGAGTCCTTTATAAAAAAAATGTATATATGATTTTCAACTTGTTCAGCCATGTACTTCTATATAAGTTCTGCAAAAAAATATTCCTCATTTTATGCCTTAATTTGTGAGACATTGAAAAAATATGCAAATGAAGAATGTCACTAATCGTGCCTTGTTTCTCAATACTATGTAAATATAAACGAGTGTATTCTTGGCGTACCTAACATAGAAAAATGCTGCCTTCATTTTTCAATTTGCACATTTATTTGTACAAAAAGTATTGGACCCTAACAGAGTAAAAAAATATAATGAAATACAAATGTATATGGAGGTAAAGAACAGTATTCGAGCTCAAGAGTTCATTAAACAATAGAAAATATGAACAGGGCAATCAGGGACATCAAAAATATGAGAGGTGGGATTGAGTGCTAATGTTTGCTACTCTGGGGATGAACAATGTGTAATATTTACAACGATCAAACTTTTATGTATTCAGACACTTTTTCTTCTTTTCTTAATAAACAAATACATTTGAACATGTAATTTTTGTCTTGAAAAAGAATGCAGTGATTTAACATTTGGAGATCAGTGCTCAGAAACATGTTCCTGCAGTATAGTTGGGACCATCGATTGTAATGATGTTACCGGATTTTGCACATGTAAAGATGGTTGGAATGGAACTAATTGTGAGTTCACAAATGAATGTGAGACAGGAGCCAGCAATTGTCATATGAATGCTACGTGTTGGGACACGATTGACAGCTATAACTGTTCTTGTAATATAGGATTCTATGGAGATGGCATTAATTGCACAGGTAAGAAACTGCTAAGGTGAGTTGAAATCCAAATGAAAAATTTTATTTGCTGAGTGTTATCAAAAGTAATAGAAGACTATGAAAATAAAATAATATAAAGTTTTCAATGCTTACTTCACGTATAGGATTTTTAAGGCACATGAGCTCAAATTTTATTCATTTAATTATGGAGAACTGAAAATTTTCCTCGTCAATAGTCCCGTACTTGTCATTATCCTATTATTGTTAATGCAGTCATAGAAGGACTTTTCATGTTTGTTTGCAATTTTGTATATGGTTTAATCCCTTTCCCGGCTTTGTTCTTTAAACCAAATTTGATTTCTTTTTTTGACAAAGAATGCAGTGATACTACATTTGGAGACCAATGTTCCGAAACATGTTCTTGCAATGTGGTTGGATCCATCGATTGTGATGACAAAACCGGATATTGCACATGTAAAGATGGTTGGAATGGAAGCAAATGTGAATTCACAAATGAATGCGAGGCAGGAGCCAACAACTGTCATAAGAATGCTTCTTGTCAGGACACGAAAGACAGCTACAACTGTTCCTGTAATGTAGGATTCTATGGAGATGGTGTCAATTGTACAGGTAAGCGATTGCAGATTTAAGTTGAAACTCAAATGAAAACATTTTAGTTTTGAATGTTTTCAAATCAAAAACGATATTGAGAAAATATAGTGTATATTTTATAATGCTTCCTGGAGTTGTATTAATAAATATAGCAACTGAAAGTGTTTGGTTGTTTTAAGCTCACCTGAGCCGAAGGCTCAAGTGAGCTTTTCTAATCAAAATTTGTTTGTTGTCAATCTTCGTTGTCGTCGTTTTCGTAAATTTTCACATTTTCATCTTCTTCTCAAGAACCACTGGGCTAATTTCAACCAAACTTGCCACAAAGTATCCTTGAGTAACGTGGATTCAAATTTATACAAATGAAGGGTCACGCCCTCTTCCGATTGATTGTATATTGTTTAACGTCCCTCTCGAGAATTTTTCACTCAGATGGAGACGTCACCGTTTGCCGGTAAAGGGATTCAAATTTTGATCTTTACTCGGCACTCAGGGCCATTGAGCAGTGAGGGATCTTTATCGTGCCAACGCCTGCCGCTGACACGGGGCCTCAGCTTTTAAGGTCCCATCCGAAGGACCCGCAACTTTCACTGCAAAGTGCCCAGCGCATGGCGAAGGAACAGTTGCTACCCATTTTAACGACTAGATCAGTCGCGGCCGAGATACGAACTCACTACCTCCCGGGTCGACCACGGAGCGAGCGCTCTACCGACTGAGCTACCGTGAACGGTCGCCCTCTTCTGAAGAAAGATAATTACGATTCAGTGAAAAAGGAATTGCCTTTTTCTAAAATTCTTCTTCTCAAGAACCACTCGACTACGAAAGATGAAACTCACGTGGAAGTATCCTCGGGTAGTGTAGATTTAAGTTTGTTTAAATCATGACTCCCATGGGTAGCGTGGGGATACAGTAGAGTATCAAATATTTGACATAGGAATACATAGCAAAAAATCTTTAAAATCTTCTTCTCAAGAACAGCAAATCCATGATTAGCCATAGTAATATGAAAGCATCCTCTGGTAGTGTAGATTCAAGTTTGTTCATATTCTGACCCCCGGGTGTAGAGTTGGGCAACAATTGGGTATCACAGTTTAAAATGGGAATGCATAGGAAAAAATCTTTAAAAATCTTTTTCTCAAAAGCAGCAAAGCTATGTTTGGTCATAATTCAATGAAAGTATCCTCTTGTAGTGTAGATTCAAGTTTGGTCACATCATGACCCCCAGGGTAGAGTGGGGCCACAATAGGATAACAAAATTAACATAGGATGACATAGGAATAATTAAATATTTTCTTCTCAAGAACAGCAAAGTCATGATTGGTCAAAGTTATATTAAAACATCCTCAGGAAGCTTAGATTCAAGTTTGTACAAATCATGACCCCCTGGGATACAAGAACAACAAAGCAATAATTAGTCAAAGTTATATTGAAGCATCCTCTTGTAGTGTAGATTAAACTGTGGTTCAAATCATGACCCCTGGCGCACGGATGGGTCATAACAGGTGATCAAAGTTTTATGAAGGATTACTCGACGAGAACAGCAAAGCCCTGATTGTTCATAGAAACATTTATATGGGAGCATCCTTGGATAGTATAGATTCAGTTTGTGTAAATCATGACCCGCAGGGGTTTAATGGGGCCACAATGATTTATCAAGGTTTTACCTAAAAATACAGAAGAAAAGTCATAAAAATTCTTCACAGGAACAACAAAGCCATTATTGATCATCAATATAAAAGCATTGAAAAGGGTTATGCAGATTTATATTTGATAAAATCATGACCTACTAGAAAAATAGAGGAGCCATTAAAGTGGATCATAAATATGTAAGGAAAGGATACTTCAATAAAAAAATTATCTTTTAAATAGCAAAACCATTATGTATCATGTTAATGTAAAGGCATTCACAGGAAGTATAGATTAAAGTTTGTTCACCCCCCCCCCCTCCCCCCGCCCCTCTTCCCCTGAACACACTTTTACTAGTATATTTAAACTTTTCAATTCTGAACTGGTTTTGCTTTTACCTAGCCAGTTGCTCACGTGAGCGATGTGGCCCTTCACCTCTTGTTTGGTTAATATTCCTGTTCTTTTGTTTTCTTTGTTTTTGTTTATGATGTCAATAATTGTACAATTAAAAAAACATTTGTAATACTGCTAATGGGAATGAACAAGTATGGATGTAAAATTAACATGATTATACAGTTTCTGTTTGTTGTACGCAACTTTGTACATCGTTTAAACAATTCCTCCAACTTGTTTCTTAAGCCAAATTTGAAATCTTTTGGACATAGAATGCAGTGATAATACATTTGGAAACCAATGTTCCGAAACATGTTCTTGTAATGTGGTTGGTTTCATCGATTGTGATGACATAACAGGATATTGCACATGTAAAGATGGTTGGAATGGAAACCACTGTGAATTCACAAATGAATGCGAAGCAGGTGCCAACAACTGTCATAAGAATGCTTCTTGTCAGGACACGAAAGACAGCTACAACTGTTCTTGTAATGTAGGATTCTATGGAGATGGCATTAATTGCACAGGTATGTGATTGCTCAGGTGAATAAAAACTCAGTTAAAAATATTTATATCCTACTTGGTGTCAATACAAAGGAAGAAATTGAAAAAAAAAATGAAATTAATATTCTATATTCACTCCTACTCGAATTCTATAAAAAATAGTGATTGAAAGTTTGGGTATTTTGGTCAACAATCCCGTTCTTTTCTTTTCGCTATTATTGTTTTAACTGTCAATACTAGTCTTATCCAGTGTTTCAAATAAAATAAAATAAAAAGGGCTGATATAATAAAAAAATCTAATTTTGTATTATGAAATTAGCATAGTAATAAAGATTACTATTTTATTGTATGCAAGGTTACACGTCGTTTAATCGCCTTACCCTCTTTGTTCTAAAAACAATTTTGAATTCTTTTATTAATAGAATGCAGTGACACTACATTTGGAGATCAATGTTCCGAAACATGTTCTTGCAATGTGGTTGGTTCCATCGATTGTGATGACATAACAGGATATTGCACATGTAAAGATGGTTGGAATGGAAACCACTGTGAATTCACAAATGAATGCGAGGCAGGTGCCAACAACTGTCATAAGAATGCTTCTTGTCAGGACACGAAAGACAGCTACAACTGTTCTTGTAATGTGGGATTCCATGGAGATGGCATTCATTGCACAGGTAAAACACAGTTTAAAATATTTAAATAATTAATGCATATGGTGTCAATACAAAGGAAGATATTGAAAGAATCTTAAAATTCATGTTTAATATTCATGCTTGCTCAAACTCTTTAAAAAATATGTATTCAGTGGTTTGGGTACTGTAAATTTATTATATTTAGCGTGTACGATATTTGGCGGAAATTGACTTTTGAATAAGTTAGCGTAGATTTGATTTAGCGCATTCCTTAATATTGTTATTTATGTGTTTATGTACAAAATATTTAACTTTGTACTTGATTTAGCGGTTGCTGCATTCCGCCAAAGCCGCTAAAAAGAATACACAGCCAAATGAAATACATTTACAGTATTTTGGATTTTGTTCTAAAATCTCGTTCTTTTCCTTTGTCTATTATTGCTTTAACTTTCAATATGTGTCAAATGTTTGAAATGTAAAAGAAATAAACATAGGCTCACGTAATTATATTGTAATATATCAATTTCAATTTTGGACTGTGAAATTAAAATAATAATGAAGGTTAATTTGTAAGTTTGTTATATACAAGTTTATACATCGTTTAATTGCTTTCCCCGCTTTGAATTCTTTTGGACATAGAATGCAGTGACACTACATTTGGAGATCAATGTTCCGAAACATGTTCTTGCAATGTGGTTGGTTCCATCGATTGTGATGACATAACAGGATATTGCACATGTAAAGATGGTTGGAATGGAAGCAATTGTGAATTCACAAGTGAGTGCAAGACAGGAACCAACAACTGTCATAAGAATGCTTCTTGTCAGGACACGAAAGACAGCTACAACTGTTCTTGTAATGAAGGATTCTATGGAGATGGCATTAATTGTACTGGTAAGGGTTATTTATTTATTTAGCTGAAATTCAATACATCAATGTAGTAAGATAAATTGTTCTGATAAATATTTCAGTTAGCTTTCCTGTCTGTATTTTATTTGGTTAAGACATTGACATTTATTTTTTACTTTTAAGAAGTAGAATTATTTTGCATGGTAGACTTAACATAGAAATGAAATTTATTGTGCGTTATACCGGTATTTAAATTGTACATGTTATTAAAGCTTTTTTGGCTATTTTTTTTTTTACATCTACACAAGGATAATTCTTTATTTAGAATGCAGTGATATTACATTTGGAGACCAGTGCTCAGAAACTTGTTCCTGTAATATGATTGGTTCCATCGATTGTGATGACATAACAGGATATTGCACATGTAAAGATGGTTGGAATGGAGCCAACTGTCAATTCACAGATGAGTGTAATACAGGTGCCAACAACTGTCACATGAATGCCTCTTGTCAGGACACGTTAGACAGCTACAACTGTTCCTGTAATGTTGGATTCTATGGAGGTGGCATTAATTGCACTGGTAATGTTATTGGCAGTTGAAACGCAAATTAATATGATCACGTGGTGGTTTATTTGATTAAAAAAAACAGAAATTTAAAGAATAAGTCTTAAATTCACTTGAAAATGTTTTTGATGAACAAATTCAAATAAAGCTGTGAAAACTACCGCTTGCGCTGTTTCTAGAACAGAGTTTTATTCTTCCATATTTTCAGCCTGTGGTCCTAAAGCGTATGGTATGCAATGTTCCAAACAATGCCCATGCATCGCAGAAAACACTAATGATTGCAATGACATCACAGGAGCGTGTGTCTGTAAGGATAAATGGAAGGGAACAAATTGTGAAGTCCATGTAGACGACTGTTTGAATGGAACTGCTGTTTGTGATCCCACTACTCAGCATTGTGTATTACAAATTGGAACGGACAGTTACTTCTGTTCTTGCCGTTATGGACTTAATGCGACTAGTGGAATATGTTTGTGTATGTAGTAATACCCTTAGATTTGAATGAAAAGTTTTTAAAACATAATATTTGATATTTATGTAACGTTAGTTTTTTTTCTTTTTATAAAGCTCCAAAGCCTCCATACATAACAAGTGAGTTTTAAAGATAATAGTATTTGAATAAATGTTACTCGTGTTAAAAGATTGAATATTTTCCATTTTTATTTGATTAAGTTCTATTAAGTTGTAAAAAGCATAAACTTTCTTTTGGGTTTTTTTGCTACATGTATTTTCCTTGAATTAATTTTGTATTTGTTAGATTCAAGAGAGGAAGTTAAATTTAAAGCAGAAACCACACTCATGGTTGATGTCACCCAACAAGAATTTGAAGAGAAAACAACAAATATAACAGATAATGTTTTTCAGATGGTATGGATATTTACCTTTTAAGAAAGTTTTTTGCCCATTTTATCGAAGAATCAAGGATTTATATTATTTTGCATTGTCCATCTCTCTGTCTGTCTGTTTGTCTGCAAAAGCTTAACCGTGCCCATGACTTTCAATTGAATGATTTTCATATTTTACATGCGTTTACCCTGTGTCAAGACTTTTCTCTGGATGCCATCAAATTTGACCTTGACCTTAGAGACTGACACAGTTTTGAAAAAAAAATGACATTATTTATTTAACCTTGGCCATAACTTTTGTGCAGTTGGAGCTAGTACGTGTTTTCTTACTTTAAAACCGGTCACCGTAGCCTAGTAGTAGAGCGTTCGCTTCGTGATCGGAAGGCTCGAGTTTGATTCTCGTTCGCGGCGCCGCGTTATACTTAAAACGTAAAAATAGGTAGTGACTGTTCCTTTGCCAAGTGCTCGGCACTAGCTTATAGAAGAAGTCACGGGTCTCTCGGATATGACCTCATAAACGAAGGCTCCACTTCATGGTAGGCGTTCGTACGATAAAGAACCTTCACTGCTCAATGGCCCCGAGTGCCGCGTATACTGCGACGTCTCGATATGAGTAAAAAAAATATCGAGAGGGACGTTAAACAATATACAATCAATCAATTATACTTGAAATATGTAATCCGTTTGACAAGAATTTCCATTGACAACAATTTTGACCCCTTCACCTTGACCTAGGAGTTGGACCAACTCTTAAAAATTAGGGCTTTTATACTTCATGTATGTTATCCTGTGACAAGACCCTCCTTTAGATTCCAACAACTCTGACTCTTTTACCTTGAGTTTGACCTATTTTTAAGAAACTTTGAATTTTGAACGGATAAGTCTAAGGCTTTTATACTATTGTGGCATGACCTTCCCTTAAATATTAACAACTTACAACCTTTCACCTTCAACTTGGAGTTTGACCTACGTTTTGTTATATTTTAACGTTGTGCATTACTTTTGAACAGAAAATGATAGGGCTTTCATATTTTACATGTGTTTATGTCTTTCTTGTGAGACTTACTTTGGGTACCAAGTTTATTATGTATTTGATATGCATTCGAGAAAGTTTATTGGGGGTATCAGTGCTTCTCAAACATCTTTTTTGATATTTTTTATCGTTCATTGTAAATATACAATTATTTGATATTTCCTAGCTTGAAGACCATTTTAAAAAAACAATGCGTGGTTTCAAGTCTCTTATTATTTTATCTTTAAGGTAAGAATTGACTTTTCCTTGAAATTTTTTTAGACTTTGAAGAAAGGTTTTGGAAACTTACTGTAGAATCATCATTGTTTGTTGGAGATCAATATTCATGAATTTCTTTGGTTTACCTTTCCAACAATTTGACGTCGTCCCCTTGAACACTGTTACACAAATGTTTTAGCAATCTTAATTTTTATCTTACGAAAAGATACAAGATACACACGGAATTACCAGTTATCTACGAACATTGACCACCCCACACCCCCACACCCATGAACAACGATGATTCCAAAATATGTCTATATATTTGTTGATATTTTTTTTTTCAATATCTTTAAAAATTTTTTTAATGTTATGTTTTGTAGCCTTGGAAGCCTTAATGTTGAATATGAAGTTGTTGTTTACAAGAACACGTCTTCAGGAGAACAAACAAGTGAATATGTCAAGGCTTCAAAGGAATTGTTGAGTAAATCAGTAATAATCGAATCCTTAGGAAAAAACGCCTCGGTATCCTCCGTAAAAATGTCCAATGAAAACGGAAAGGGTTTGTACTTGTAAATTTGTTATTTAAGGAATGACTCTAATTCTTGGCCAAATTATTCGATACAACCTGGTTTGGTTCAGTTTACGCTGTATAATAAGCAAAGCAGATTATAAAAAGAGCGTAAACTGACTTAAACCGGGTTACACTCGAATATTTGGCCAAGAATTAAGAGTTATTTATCATAATTAAATTTTAAAACAATTAAATATAAGCAACTGTGAATGTAAAATTGTGTTACTTTTTATGAGTTCAAATTTGCCGCTCAATAATAAATGATGCATAGACATAATAGCCATGATGTTTGTTTACATGAGGTAAGATCGAGTTACTGATAGAAGTTAAGGGTATATTTATTGAATCTGGAATTTTCCATGAATCTCGAGGACTGGAAATGAGGGGATTACATAGATACAGATGATTCAGCTGGTTGTCAATGGGGTGTGTTCCCATACCAAACCAAATTATACAGAATAATTTGCGTTCCTTTTTGGAAATCAACCAATGAGAGGCTAGAATACAAACAAAATTAAATAATTTTTAAATGTATATGTTAAGAAAAATAGCTTATGTAGACTGTGATTTTGTTTTCGAAACAATACTAGTATTCCTGACTTTTTTTTAAGTTGAAACTCTTACTATCATATCATAATTAAGCACAAGCTGATCATGATTGCAAAATGAAAATAAAATGGTATACTTAAAAAAATGATTTAACGAGAATAAAAATAAAATGGTATACTTATAGACAAATATTTAAAGAGAAAGATACATATTTTATATTGATATATTTTTGTGTTTTTACTCTGTCTATCCTGTTGTAGAATGGTACATAATTTATATCGATACATTTTAGTACTCTTACTCTATGCCTATCCTGTTGTAGATATTGTACTGAACACGTCAAGCAGTCAGTGCGCTGTCTTACAGCATCTTTATCCTTGCTCTGATGGACAGGACTGTGTAGAAACCTCAGGGGTAGCCATGTGTTTGTAAGTTTTAAGACTTAATGCATCGTTTTCTACCTTCATCACAATTACAAAACAAATGTAAAGATAAGAAACTTATCTTGAATACCTTTATAAAATGTGAAGCAACAAACTATTAAAGAAACGAAGGGAAAAATTTAATCATTATTTATTATTATTTCTCCTTTTTGTCTTTTTCAGAGGGAGAAAAAAAGAAAACGGTAAATAGCTTTTATTAAATCTCCAGAACTTGTCTGAGAAATAAATGAATTAATATACATCATTTTTTAAAAAAAAAAAAAACTTCTTTAAGATTAAGATTATTTGCGTTTAATCAAACTTTTTTGTTTGTTTTCCCCTCGATTAGAGTGTTTAATATCGTTTAACAAATCTGATAAAATCTGTGTTTCAATGTCTACTCTAAAAGATAACATTACCATTTTCAAATTGTTTGAAGTTCAACTAGCTTGGTAATTCTGTTTATGCATCCATGAATTCCAGAAAATTTAAGCCTAATCTTAGGATTAGGCATTGGGATACCGTTCCTTCTTGCAGCTCTAGCAATAATGGCCATTGTTTATGTATACTGTCAACGACGATCACAAAAGAGAAATGAATCAAACCAATGTGATTTGAATAGGTAGGACATCTATCTAACTGCTTGACACTTTTGATATTCCTTCTATTATTCTTTTTTTCAATATCAAGGAAAAAATAAACCCGATTTCGGAAAACAATAAAATGGTAGTCATTCAATCAAACATTCCCCTTGGCAAAATTCATACAAGTTAAATTCTATATAAATATATAGTAGCATTCACGGCTTTCTTGTGAATTCATAGCATTACGCGTTTATGAAGGAATAATACAAATATTATAGATAATCTTATCTTTTATTTTCAAATTACTTTGAAAGAGAAATTTTATTTAGATCATCGATTCCTGTACGCTATGGAAGCTGGGGTCCAAAAAGCATGTTCTATCCGTGGATGCACGAAACTGAAGAAAGAAAAGGTACCGCAACTATCAGATCAAATATTATTTTGGGAAATGTAGCTGTTACAATGCGACTATTGGTTCAGAACGTTTATTATAGTATACATAAAAAACAAGTGTCTCCCTTGTGGCACAGTGGCACATGTCATTAAGTAAGGAGCCTATCCCTACGTCGAGGGCACAAATTCGCTGTGAGGCGTGGAGACTTCTTCTCTGGATGAGATCATATAAAGCGAGGTCCCATGTGAACGTGGGCACGAAAAAGATCCGTTACTGATCAATGGCACTGAGTACAGAGTACTCGTAGATATAAATTTGCAGCCCTCCACAGCCAAGTAGTAGTGTCTCCATATGAGAGGAACGTTCCGCAAGTAAATAACAAAATAGTCAGTAAAACCAAAGCCACCATATATAAAAATCACATCTGGAATGGGTAATATAATAAAGATAGTAAAATGATATTATTAGTTATGTAGACACTAAGAGGGGTAATACGGAAATATGTGGGGTCTTTGAAAAAATCCATATTGGGCGAGGCGTAAGCCCAATATGCATTTTTTCAAGGATCCCACATATTTTCGTATTACCCCTCTAAGTGTCTACATAACGAATTTATCCTGCCGATGGTTCACTAAAAGATTAAATATTGATAGTATCAATAAACCGCTTTCACTGAACGTCCAAGCAAGACGTTCTACATCCATTACATACGTTGTCGTCAGACGCATTGTGACGTCAGTTATGAAGCTCCATGCGGGTCACGTGAAAGCAGTATATTGATGATACTGTGTGGTTGGTAAATTTTTAATATAATTATGGTGGGTAGGTCACGTGGAGGGGGCACATTAGCAATGTGAGGTGGGTAGACAGCATAACATCGTTTCATGCAGTATTGCTCTCGGCAAATGAAATTTCACGATTTTTATCAGAGGCAGGATAAATCCTAACCGTCCCTGAAAGAAAATATTATTACATGTATAGGTTGTACTGTCTGAAATTGATTTGTCGCATTTTTTTGTTAGAACATTCAAGGGATAACATGTCCATACCACCTGAAGTGTCTGTAAGTTTTTCTTTTACATTATTTTCTTCAGAATAAATGTAATCCAGTTGCACAAAGAAAATGATATTTCAATTTATTCTTTACCTTTTAGAAGTTTACGATAAGACGACCCATTGCAGATGTGAATCCTAACCCTGTATTCGTAAGTTTTGCTCTTTGTTGTGTCTACTCATTAGTACGTCTTATGTATTATGTTATTACGTTTCTAATAAGTTTAAATTAGGCATATAAGAGAAAATAAATTCATATTTGTGTACTTTTTATCTTTCTTACATGTCAAATAGTGACATGACATAAACATAAACTGTCTTTGGATGGAGTACATGTAGATTCAGATTTCTTTGATATAAAAAATCGCATGAGAGAGTCAGGAATAATGAAAAATTAAATTTTGAAATTCATAGTTTTCTCATCGAAGTATATAGGGACAATAAAAACAATAGAAAAATATCTACCAAAAGAAACACATGTGCACATTATGAACAATAATATTGCATTTTATGTCACCTGAATGACTCAGAATTTCATGGCCCTAGTAAGGGGTTCTGGTGTAAGGGTCGGGCTGTCGTTATTATAAACTGAAAATGTATCAATTCTTTGAAAATCTTCTTCTCTGGTCCTGGGCATCAAGCAAACAAACAAAATATACAAAGATATGATGAGCAAGTGGGTTCTTTTTCCAGAATTGTGAATTTCAAACCCCCTGGGTCAGGGGTACCGTAGAGGAGAATAGGACCGCGGCTCTAATGCTTATATACTAATAATGAAAATGAAATAATGCTTTGAAATTTGCACTTTGGTATTGATCAAACATTTATGATGAGCAAAATTTCAAAATTTTAAAATGTGTAGCCCCGGGGTCAGATTTTATGTGAAATGGGGCACTACTGATTATTGCTGATTTTAACTGATTAGTTGTTTTTTTTCTCAAACTCTGCCTAGCTAGGGTATTCAGAAACCAAACTAAGCATAGTGTATAGTTATGATTAACAATAAATTGTGTTTATTTCAAAATTGTAAATGTCATGGCATCTGGTCTAAAGTACGAACCGAATTCAATGGTTGGTAAGATGTTACATGCATGATGCCCATGTGACCTATAAGGCTCATGGGTCTCATGTTATATAACGTAAATATAATTTTATTCAAATCAGAGCCCTTTTGACACGATAATCAACATTTAACAGGTAAATATAAAACAAATCATTAAAACATATCTGTTTAATAAAGCAGAGCGACAATCAATTTTAATAGTGCTAGATATTCAATTACACGTTGTTTTGTTTTACAGAGAGATTGATTCACAGCTTAAAGATCTGGATAAAGAGAAACCAAGCCATGTGTCAGTAATATGACGATATTTTTAATTAAAATAATTCCTAATAATAAATGATGTATTTATCATTTTAAAACTAAAATGTGCATTCCATTTTCTTTTTATTTTTGTGCAAGATTACCTGTAAAATACTATTCAAATAAGACGCAAAATGTACTATGTATATATCACGATATCATTTTCCAGAAATGGATATAGGTTTAAGGTTTCATCAGTAAATGTTAATTTCCTACGCTCATTTTTCTATGTTTTTACATTCACGTTTTGGTATTCAGTATTTCATTACACTTTATGTACATGTACTTCTTTTTAGTATTTCCACATGTATTATATATAACACCAGCAAGAATGACTTCATAATTCTAATAAACCTTCTTGTTAATCATAGGACGAGATTAGCAATCTAAATATATTGTAAAGATGCAAAAAAATATTTTCCAGTTCAAAAAATGAATTTGAACTTTACTCTTAATATATAACGTACATGTAGATGTTTTTTTATTCTTTCATGAATTAGTTTATTTTTTATTACGAGAAAGGCATCGATGATCTTACAGCAACGACTTTAAGGACCCTCTTTACACCACAGCAAACTATTTTTGCCCATTAAAAAATTCCCTCAGAAAGAAAAATGTTCAAATACAACACAGTGTTATTAAAAAATCACTACGATACGGTCTTCTTCAGTGGAAATATATTTGTAAATAAAATATTCAATTGATTTATTTTGCCTTTTTAAAACGCTATAACAAATTTAGATTCATCCCAAAATGCAGAAATAACTATAGAATCTGAACTCTTTAGTATGCTGTGTAGAGAGGGTTTAATACCCAGGTTTAAGCAGATTTATAAATAAAACTGTGGTATTTAATATTCAACTTTAATTTATATATAGGAGTATATTGTATATAGAATTTTATTGTCTTTTATAATATAACTGTGATTGAATAAATTTTAATATTAAAAGTATTATTTTATTTCTAATTGTTCATGATTTTATGTCAAGGGCGGTAGCGGATGCTGAATCTGCCAAAGGTTACTAGTACCATTTTTATATTTACAAAATATATAATAGTTTTATTATACGATTGAATAATTTTCCTCATTCTGATTGGCTGAGATACAACAAAGGTAGAAAAATACTACGTTATATTGACCTGCACGTGACCTTCCAGGTCAATATTATACAATTATTGTTGTTTTTGAGGTCAATTGAGGTGATTTTGACACCTGAAGAGTACAATATTTGCTGAATCATCGTATTGACCTCAATTAACAGCACTGTTTTTGATACATGATGAAATAATAGCAAACTCCTTCAAGTTTGTTTTTGTTTTAATTGAAAGTTTTTTAAACGAGAAATTTCAGCGAGGATATGTAACAAGAAAAGTGGAATATTATATTTAACTGCAAAAATTCCTTGTATTGACCTGGAATGTCACGTGATTCATTAAATGGCTGCAATAATTCATTGTATTGACCTGAAAGGTCACGTGCAGGTCAATATAACGCAATATTTTTCTAAAATTGTTCGATCTCAACCATGCAATCGTAGAGAGGAAAATTATTGTATCATATAATAAAAGAATTATTGCCGGTCAATAAAATGAATCATGTGATCTTCCAGGTCAATGTATGGAATTATTGCAAGTCAATACAATGATTTATTTCTGTATCATGTTACGGTGTGTTTTTGTTGAAATTTCTCGTCAAAACTTTCAATTGCAGCAAAAATAGTCTTCTATGAGTTTGCTATCATTAAATCGTATAGTAAAACGGTTATTGCTGTTCGAAGTACAGTGTTCACTTTGTCTTGCGGACTCAGTGAATATTATACTCCTCAGGTGTCTAAATCATCTTATTGACCTTAAAAATATCATTAATTATATAATAATTGTATAATATCATCATTTTCTAGTTGGTTTTTTTTTTGGCTGTAGGTTTTGCTACAGAGCATTCACTTTAGTTTAAAATGACAGGTAATTGAAATTTGAATTTTTAATTTATTTTTCTATTTTTTTTTTAAATTTTTTGATTAAGAAAATGTGTTTTTATCCGGCTGAACCACAAAATAAATTTCTCATTTTTATGATAAGTTACACATACATGCATTGTACATGTATATACAATCAATTCCAGAGTTATTCCCAATTGATTCTCTGCCAATATCTCAATATCATCATGCTTTTTATAAACGTCTTTAAGCTATATACATTTCTCCCCATTAATTATCATATTGCCATCCCAATGGCATCATCTCGGGTCTTTCCGTCAGAGATCGGAAAAACAACCTCGAATGTATTAACATCACCGGATGTGAAAAATTTATACATTTCCTGTTTATTCAAATATTGGATAGGCGAGGTTAGAAGTCCCTTCTATATTATATTTGATGTAATATAATTACACTGAATAGAGTTAAACTCTATATTTCGCAGATTAAAGTTCCCATGCGTTTATTTCAAAGATCGTGAAAAGGGAGGGTTCTCATGGCGTCTACCATATACATTCGAGGTCGTTTTTCCGCTAGTCGGAAAGGCCCGAGAAGTTGCGATTGATTGCCATCCGTCATCCTATTTTTACAATCGTCAAATTCAATGTGTTTAATCATGTGACGTCTGCGATATTCATAAAATGAGGGATATCCTAAATAGATCAGATAAGTAGATCACAATTTGCTGGCCCAAAATAAAATCGGTCAAAGTCAGTAAACATGGCGGATAAATTCAAATAGTGATGTTGACAAAAAAATAAGTGAAAAATTTTGTTTTGCATATTTTGAGGTCACCTGAGTGACCTAGTGCTATCTTTTTTCGTCCGTCGTGGTGCGTCGTTCGTCGTGTGTTAAAATTTGAACATTTTCAGCTTCTCCTCTGCAACCACTCAACCAATTTCCACTAAATTTTACATAAAGCATCTATAGGTAAAGGGGAACAAAAATTGTGAATTTCATGGTCCCTGCCCCTTGGGGCCTGAGGGGTGGGGCCATAATCACTAAAATAAGTGCTATCTTTAAAAATCTTCTTCTTTACTCCTGGAGATCAAGCAATCAAACTGTAAGCATGAATGTAATGGCCATTGAGTCCTCTACCAAAATTGTGAAATTCAAGGCCCCAGGGTTACGGGTGCTAGGGTGCGTCTCTATTGATTATATAGTGAAAATGCATCATTTCTTTAATATTCTTCTCTGCTTCTGGGTATTAAATAAACTAACTGAGTATACAGCTCATCAAACTTTTTAAACTCGCGTGGTTTTCCGCATAAAAAAGGTCACATTGGTAAAAATTTCCGTTATATAAAAAGACAATTAAATTGACTTAGAGGGAAAAACTATTTATTTATTCTCTTAATGGATGATAAATTCATTATACAATTAATATTTGGTAGCTCCACTCTTTGCTTTTATCACTGCTTTTATTCTGTCATTCATGCTATGAAGAGGGTCCATGCAAATTCTTTCGTGACTGTGTACCACATTTGTTGTATCTGTTCCCACATGTCTTTCTTCTTAGAGGGTTATTTCTTGGACAGTTCTCTTTTCATTTCAGCCCAAATGTTTTCGATAGGATTGAGATCCGGACTATTACCTGGCCAGGGGAGAGTTGATATCTGCTGAAATTTAGTGTTCCCTCATATTTTTTTTTCAAAACCCCAACGCCGTTTGCTTCAACCCCCCCCCCCCCCCCAGCATGAAATTTGGGTAGGATGTTTCACGGTAAACTATAGGCATTTTGAATCATACTTTTCAGCTTCTCTTCTCCAAATTCGACGATATTTCCTGTCACTGTGAGACTTGAATAAACTTTCGTCTGAAAACACAACACTTTTCCAGTCTTTCTTCGTCATGTGTTTGTGATGTCTTGCCCATTACAAACGTCTTTGTTTCTGTTCTTTTGAAAGTAATGGCTTTTTAGCAGGAACGTAGCTCTTAATTCCATACTTGTTTAGCCTTTTTCGTAGTTTCACTTAAGGAAACCCTATTTGATTTAACAATCTTTGCATTCAGTTCTCTTATTGTAAATCTCCTTTCTTGCAACGCCAGGTTCTTTATCGCGCTTTCTTGTCTACGGGTGACTTTGCTTCTTCTCCCTCATCCAAGCAAGTTGCGCAATGTGCAATGTAACTTATAATTCTCATACAGTCGCGAGGCCATAGCGTGAAATGGAGACGCCATATCTTTCTGTCATCTGCACTTCTACTTCTTTCCATGTTAACTTTGTATTTCTCAAAGTAATGATCTAAAGTCTAGCATCGAGAGAGATTCGTCTTACTGCAAAATAACAAAATATCAAGTCCTAAAATATAGGAAATAGTCTTATCAATTGTAACAATTACTTATTTTTTTTACAAAAAAGAAATAGTAACTTATCCTTTTTTGTCGCTAGATCCCGATGAAACCGATGGGAAAATTATATGTGACCAAAGTTCATTGAAAATTATTAATCTTAAAGGATTGATTTTAAAATTTTCGACCACATACTTTCGCAAAAACTATAGGAAATAAATTTTTAAAATGATATTGAAGATTCATTTTAATTGTTGCATCATTTTAATGTTTTGCTTTAAATCATTTATAAGAGCGTCTTTTAAAAAAATCAATAGGTTTTTTAAAGGGCGTGTTACCTTGACAAAAGATATTAACTACAGTTCATGGTCTTTACCTTGTTCTTTTGCTATTATGCTAAAAATATTTTTGAAAGTATGTGACCTTATTTTGTGCGGAAAACCATGAGTTTAAAAAGTTTTTTGAGCTGTATAGTTATGATGAGCAAGAATGCCTTTTGCAAAATTGTGAATTTTATGGCCCCAGGGTCAGGGGTTCTAGTGCAAGGGTGGGTCTCTATTGATTATAAAGTGAAAATGCATTATTTCTTTAAAAATCTTCTTCTCTGCTCCTGTATATTAAGTAAACTAACTAAGTATGTAATATGATGAGCAAGAATACCTCTTCCAAAATTCTTAATTTTATGGCCCCTGGATCAGGGGTTCTAGTGTTAGGGCGGGGCTCTATTAATTGATTATATAAAGAAAATACAT